GCCTGCACTCACCCCATAGCATCCCTTCCTGGCCTGCTGGGCTTAGTCCCAGCTTCCTGCTCTGGGCGTTGCCGCATGATGAAGGGGCCACGAGGCAAACCTGAGTGGTGCTGTGACTTCATGTGTCAGGTCACAATGCCACTCAGTTTGGGGGCCCTCTCAAAGGTGGGGGCAGGGGCAAACTTGCTTGGGGAAGTGGCAGCTGCATAGCATGCCTAGAGAAGCAGGGGAAACTGCCAGAGAGCTGCATCCAGAGCCAGCTACAGCAGAAGCCTGGGAAACACATGGAAAAGGGTGTGACAGCTGGGTATCAGTGCAGACACGGGTGTGACAACTGGGTATGCGTGCAGACCTGGGTGTGAACAGGGTGTGATGGCTTGGCATCAGGGCAGGTGCGGGTGTGAATGGGGTGTGATGACTGGCCATCCGTGCAGACCCACATGTGAACAGGGTGTGATGGCTGGAGAATGCAGAACTGCAGGATCAGCCCTGTGCAGAACTTGTGGGGAAGCATCAGAAGCGGGACAGGTAACCAGGGCAGGGGGCCCCAAGGAGACACCCCAGTAACTGATCAAGGCCTGGAAACCTAGAAACTCCTGTTTGTCTCTAGTGGACGCTGGACTGAAACGACATCTGAGGCATTCGGCCTCAGGAGCCTTAACCTAGTGCACTGCCCTCCCCAGGGCCCTCATGGGAACCATTATTGTTTTACATTAAATTGCAGCTATTGAAGCCATTGCACTGAGGGTATTTGCAGCTTCCCCTCTCTGCCAGCCCCAGTTAAAAACCTCTTCATTTAGCCACCTGTCAGAGTCATTGTGGGGCTCCCCAGGGTTAGTGCCCATAGGGCTTAGTGATTGAAGCGCCTGCCTCCAAGCCATGCCATGGTATATCTTGGAGGGTTGGTTTGCCACAGCCCTAGCAGCTGCAATAATTACGTCAGTCCCCGCACAACCGCCGCACCTCTCCCCCCCCCGGCCCCCCCGCCACCTCAGACAGGTTTGGTGCAGGACTTTGGGTAGCTTACAGTGCAGGGGAACCCCGGGAGCAATGTAACCTACCAAATACACAGCCAGCAGGGAAATGGCCAGTGAAGGCAGCTTGCACAAATATTTCATCACACCGCTCACACTTTCACGGAATGGCAGGGCTGACCAGTCACTGCACATTCCACGAGCAAACTGCCCAGAATGTGCGTAGGGAGCTGATAAACGTTGGAGCCACCATTAACTGAAGGTCTGAGCTGGAGAGGAGCTGGAATATCGATGTTAAGACCCTCCACAGGTTGTTGCTGTGCATTTAAACACCCAGGTATTTTCCACTATCCTGCTCTTGGAGTGTATTTTGCATGAGGGTTATAACCATCCCTGAAAGGACCCTGAGGCTGGCTTGGCACACGGTGTTCCTGCTTGTACAGAGCAGGCATCTGACCAAATGGACACGGCCCAGTCCCCAGTCTGCGCTTCCAGTCAGCACAGATTTACGCAGTGTTGTTTTGCCATCAAACCCGACTCTAGGTAGGAATTCAGGGATTAGCAGGTGAGGGAGGAGGGTTGTGTCCTCGGGCTAAGCAGCTGCTATTTTTGAAGCCGTGTTTGAAAGAGGATTGAGACTGGCTTAGCCTTGCTCACTGCCCATTCCAGGAGACAACGTGTCAGGATCCTTCCCAGGCTGGGCACCAAATGTGACTGAGGGGTGTCACATCAGGAGCTGAAGGGTTTTTGCAACATGATGAACCCGAAGGAGGTGAAGGCGCCTCATCAGTCCCACCTCGCGATTTATCAAGCTAGGGTTCAAAAAAGAACTAGATAAATTCATGGAGGATAGGTCCATCAATGGCTGGGATGGTGTCCCTAGCCTCTGTTTCCAGAAGCCGGGAATGGGTGACAGGAGATGGATCACTTGATGATTACCTGTTCTGACTGACTGGCTAAGCAGCAGTTCTGAAAAAAAGGACCTAGGGGTTACAGTGGACGAGAAGATGGATATGAGTCAACAGTGTGCCCTTGTTGCCAAGAAGGCCAATGGCATATTGGGCTGCATTAGTAGGAGCATTGCCAGCAGATCGAGGGACGTGATTATTCCCCTCTATTCGGCACTGGTGTGACCACACCTGGAGTATTGCATCCAGTTTTGGTCCCCCCACTACAGAAGGGATGTGAACAAATTGGAGAGAGTCCAGCGGAGGGCAACACAAATGATTAGGGGGCTGGGGCACATGACTTACCGGGAGAGGCTGAGGGAACTGTAGTTATTTAGTCTGCAGAAGAGAAGAATGAGGGGGGATTTGATAGCAGCCTTCAACTACCTGAAGGGAGGTTCCAAAGAGGATGGAGGTTGGCTATTCTCAGTGGTGGCAGATGACAGAACAAGGAGTAATGGTCTCAAGTTGCAGTGGGGGGGGGTCTAGGTTGGATATTAGGAAACACTGTTTCACTAGGAGGGTGGTGAAACACTGGAATGCGTTACCTAGGGAGGTGGTGAAATCTCCATCCTTTGAGGTTTTTAAGGCCCTGCTTGACAAAGCCTTGGCTGGGATGATTTAGTTGGTGTTGGTCCTCCTTTGAGCAGGGGGTTGGACTTTCCAGAGGACTGTACCCCTTTCAGGAGTCAGATTTGTCTTGTGAACCCCCAAGTTACACCTCACTTAACAACAACTTGCTTACAAAATCAGACATAAAAATACAAGTGTGACAGCGCACTATTACTGAAAAATTGCTGACGTTCTCATTTTTACCATCTAATTATAAAATAAATCAATTGGAATATAAATATTGTACTTACATTTCACTGTATAGAGCAGCATAAGCAATTTTTAGTTTGTACTGACTTTGCTCTTCCTTTTTATGTAGCCTGTTGTAAAACTAGGTAAATATCTAGATGAGTTGATGGACCTCCTGGAAGAGCTCTGCATACCCGCAAGGGTACACGTACCCCTGGTTGAGAACCACTGACTTAGAAGAAGAGCAGCTCAACAGATCTGTCCAGGAGGAGGCAGAACTGGGTGGAGCCCAGAGGGAGCTAAAAGCAGCATTGAAATCCACAGCCATCTTTCCCAGCAACACTGGTGCCGTTTTCCTTTCACAGGCGTTGGCTTCTTACAATCTCTTTCCAAAAAAATTTTTATGTTGAATTTTTTTGTTGAAAATTTTCAATCATAAAAACGATCGAAAATTTCCATTTAACCAAAAACAGCAGGTTGTGAGTAAATGACACTGCTCTATAACCATTTCCAGAGCCTTCTTGCTAAAATCATTGTATGAAAAGCTCCATGGAAAGTTTAAGAACTTGGAAAAAAAATTCAGTTTTGACAAAAGATTATTTTTCAACAAGAAATCTCTGCACTGGAAAGATGTGTGCAGAGAGCTTCTCTCTGTGTGTTTTAAAAGCCCTCATTGGGGGGGGGGGCAGTCCTGCTGCCCCTGGAGTCAGTGACAAAACTCCCATTAACCGGTGGGGGCGATTGGGGCCCAGCTGGGTGTGACTGTGCAGCACCTGAAACACACGGTGGGGAGGGCACATTACAAACAACTGGACTTTCCTCAGTAGCAGGGGGTCCAGCTCTAACTACAGTGTTTGCCTCCCCCTCCCCTTCTTCGTAGGTCCTAAAACTGCCCCCCGCTGCCTGGGGCCAGGCTGAAAAGCCATCTCTGCAATCTCAGCGTGTGACTTAAGGAAAGGAAGATGCCAAGATCATTTGGTTGTGAAGCTCTCTCAGAAACCTGGAGTCAGAGACTGACCATGATGACTTAACCTGCAGGCAGACCAGATTTGCCTCCATCCCCCTCCTGCTGCAAGCACCAGCCTCAAATCAGGATCCCAATCCCACATTAAATGGCCCTTAACAGCTGCAGTTTCTGAGAAGACGTGAACTGTCTCAGGGGCAGAAGGAGGCAGCCACATCTTCCTGTCTTCGGGGGCTGTTTGCTCCTTTGGAACCCCCAGTTTGGGGACTTTGGGGGGGTACAAGTTATGGCTACTTGCTCGTCGTGTTCCTATCTTGTGCTGCACTGAGAGGCAGGCGAGAAGCCAGCAGGGGGAGGTAGAGAAAGCTGCCCCCTAGTCGCTGGGAGATGGAACTTGCTCACCCCAGGAGCCCTGCCGGTGTGTGACATTTCAGCTGGGATGAAGAGTAACAGCAGGTGCAGGGACAGGCTGAGCCCACCAGCTCATTCCATACAGGGCACCTCACAGCATCAGAGCCGCTGCTAACCTGGACCACGTGACATGGAGAAGAATGACTCTGTATCCCAGACCTAGGCCCCATGAACAGCCACCAGGCTACTGCAGCCTTGCCAAAGGAAACCCCACTCCAAGAACTTCTGTCCTATGTTTAATAGTTACTCTGAATTCATTTTACAGGTTGCATAAGGCAGAAATGTACAGACATTTACAGGCACACTGTACAGGAGTTTTCCATCATATATTAGTGCTTTTGCTATATACATATCGTACAGCCTGCAAGGAGGCCTTTCCATGGACAACGCTTCACAATGGTTCTCTCCACCACACTCTGTGGAACTGGAACCAGGTGTGGACCTGGTTTTAGCCCACAAAAGCTTATGCCCAAATACGTTTGTTAGTCTCTAAGGTGCCACAAGGACTCCTCGTTGTTTCTGAATGGAGCTGGGAAATTTAATTCACTCAGTTTTATTTTAAATGCACCAAGTCCACAGCTTTTGAAATGGTATGTAGGTTTTAGCCATGTGACAAAGGCCACAACAACAATTTGAGGGGACCAGGGGCACGCAAAGGCATCTCAGGCTTAGGCTGCTTGTCTTTAGTCAAAGCATTTCCCAGGTGCTTTAGGCAAGCTAGGTGCCGTTTTGGTGTAATTGCCCCACTGAGCCAAGTGGTGGCAGCTGGAGATGGGGCAGCATAGCATAGGCTCACACTGGTGAGTGGCTCTTGGAGGGTTGGCTCCTGGGAGCAGATTGCAATTGAGGGAGGGAAGTTCCTTGTTGCCCTGACTTATTCCTGCTCTTCCTATAGGACAGGCATCAGTGGCAGCCACAGCTCCCAGCCACCATGTCATCATACTGTTTAAGGACAACATTCTCATCATCATCAAAGTAGAGGAGGTTGATGGAGAAGAGTTTGTCTGGGACACAGCAGGGGCTACTGACGTCCTGGCTCAGTTTGAGGGCATTGATGATGGACTGCACTGTGGCGTGGTTCGTTGGTCTCATGTTCTCGCCCAGGGGGAAGGGACAGGATCCTTTACAGTGATACGCGTTGTAGCTTTTCGGGGAGATTATCCATCCTGACCAGCCGATTTCCTCAAAGTCCACAGAGAGGAGTTGTCTCTGGCATGGCAGGAACCGATCCAGCGAGCGGGCAGTCCGCGCCCCACTCACTTCTGGTACGAGCGGCTCAGCCGGGAGGTCTGGAGTCTTAGGGCTCAAATCTAGGAGGGAGTAACGAGATCAGAATAACATCCTTATTGATCAGACAAACCTGAAATGAGACTGAAAGCAAGGTTGCAAGTGTGAACCACCCCCTTCCTGCACTCACTATCAGCCTCCCCATCTAGTCACTCAGCCCCCTTCTCAAAAATCCCAGTGTCAATCTGAATCATTGAGCACTTTGGGACTGATTCTTCTCTCACTCACACAGGTTTAAATCAGGAGGGACACCACTCGAGTCCATGGAGTTGCAATGGAGTAGAGAAGAGACTCAGGTCCAAAGAGTTTGCATCCATCATGGAGCTGACATAGCATGAGAGAAAGGCAGATACATGCCTAAAAGGCTGCACCCATGTCCAAGCCTAGCTCTCTAAAGAGTTTGTTCTGCTGCACAGTAGAAAGGAACTGCAAACCCTTCATGTTCCATTGTTTGCCATGGAGCTTTAGAAAGCAGGATTTGCTTTACCAGATCAGAGCATTGGTCTGTCCAGTATCCTGGCTCTAACTGTGGGCAATTCCTCGAGGCAGCCATCCCTGCAATACACCTGGCTAATGCCACAGTGATCTGTGTAAGGAGGAAAGATCTGAACCTTTCGGAGACCAGCTGATGAGCCTGAACCATGACATTTCATTAGCCCATCCCAGCATAATTACAAGTGTTATTATCCAACAGCAGGAAATTCCACTGCTTGATCACTGCCACAAGCTGGAGGGAAGCAGCATTTCTTTTCATTTGTGTTAAATTTGCAACCACTAATTTAACAGTGATGCCCCTCCCCCGTTCCTCTTTCATGGGACAGCATAAAAACAAGGGTCTTTAATACTTTATACTTTGCAGATAACTAGCCACTTCCACCTGAGGCTCGCACAGTGCTTTTCAGGGGCAGACTGGGGAGCGATTGTTATGCCCATTTCACAGAAGGGGAAAGCTGTGCAGGACAGAGAATTACAGTCCAGTTCTGCTCTGAGAGAGAACTTTACCCAAATGGCTCAGGGGACGGGGGGGAGGAGGCAGTCTGCCTCTCACTCTATGTTGAATCTCCTCAGATTACACATAAATTATCTCAGCTGCCAGCCCTGCAAACTCGCCCTGGATCAGAGTCCCTGGCTCCCTGCATTGCACCCGTGATGAACAAGAACAAGTATAGCTGGAACTTAGCTGGTGAGGCATGGAGCCATGGGCAAGCCAAGCCCCCCTCCCACAGCTGGCCTGGGCTCCAAACGGGTTAGAAGCGTTCAAAGCAGTGACCCCTAGTTTAGTCAGCAGGGCCCAGATCCTCAAGTGTATTTAGGCACCTAACTCCCATTGGATGGAAGTTAGGTGCTTAAATACCTTTGCAGATCTGGGCCCCAGCAACCGTGACTTCGAATGGTGAGTAAGGAAGTGATTGCAGCCCCTTTGCAGAGAAGAGCTGCACTTTATTCCCTCATTATTTCATCAACTCTGTGTCCTTCCCTGCGGAGCATGGGTGGGTTTGCCTGACCTGGGAGGCTGCTGATGGGCAGAGCAGCTCCTCGTCTCCCGTCATCAGTGAACAGAACCAGCATGGGCTTCTTGCTTTCATGGTGATCTCTTCCTGATGCAAATCGCACCATGCTGGGATCCACTGGAGCACTCCCCAAGCCGCGGACAGTCACCAGCAGGCCGTGGTTACTGCTGTCCTCTTCCATCCAGTCACGAACCTGCAAAACCACACAATGGTCAGCATGGCAGCAGCACCTGTGAAGGGACAGGACCCAGCCCCCAGGAAGGCACCGTGAGGTACAGAAAGGAGATACTGGGTACCTATGCATCTTCCAAACCAGTGAGGACGTCTCAGTCCTCAGATTGTGTCAGTCCAAACACCCACAGCCAGCCCTGCCTGATGATGGCTAACACACAGATCAGCAGTGGGCAGTGAGGCTCACCAGCCCTGCTATTCCCCTGTCCTGGGGTTGAATCCTGCATGCAGCCAAGGGGGACAAGCAGCACACGTGTCCCTGCCCTTGCCTGTGCTGAGCCCTGCAGTCAGGAAAGGAGATGAACTGAGCTTCCCTGAGAACAACTCCGCTTGGGTCTGATCCCAGGTTGGAGCCAGAGCTCCCCAAACACCCCGGCCTGTGCTATTTCTGTGCAGCTCTCAGTGGGCCCAGAGCTCACCCTTTATTCTAGAATCCTGTGACCGATGGCTAAAGGTTGCTCTATAAGCGAATGGACACATTGCCTCTCAAGCCCTTACAGAGGAAGCCCGTCACATCTCCTTGGTGCCTTTTCTCTCCCGACTAGTTCTTACATTAGTTAATATTTCTGGAAAATATCTTCTTGTTTCATAATAACCATGGATCTAGACACACCTGGTTTGTGATATTGAGCACATATTTTTTACCATGGTTCATATTAAAAATATGTACATTGCTCTTGGTATCACCCCACATATGTAGACACTGCACCGGATGTCACCCTGCAAATATACACATGGTGCCAGGCGTCTCTCCCGAAATACACACTCTCAACACTACACCACCTGCCCCTTGGCGTGGTGGGCTCAGTCTCTCTGGTTTCGAGGGAAGACGCCCCATTGCCAAGGGAAGAGATGTTTGTTCCTGGTTGCCACCAGCCCTGCAAACTCAGCCGAGGATCAGTCATGGTGGGTTCTTTCTGGCTCCTGGATCATCCCTTCGGAGCCTGACCCAAATGGTGGATTATGGATGTGGTCAAGATAACCTGGAGCTGTACACCTCAGAATACAGTAAAGAGCCTACAGCTGGAATGTAGGTAACAGTTCTGAGGCTGCTGCACAGGGCAGCCTGGAGCTCAGCTCACTCTTTCTCAGGCACCAACAGGACTGACAAGAACTGGTTTGGATCTGACAAGGCAGCTGCTCAGACTAAAGAAGCTGGTGTGTTTTTACATCATAGATATCATAGGTATCATAGAATATCAGAGTTGGAAGGGACCTCAGGAGGTCATCTAGTCCAACCCCCTGCTCAAAGCAGGACCAGTCCCCAATGTTTGCCCCCGATCCCTAAATGGCCCCCTTAAGGATTGAACTCACAACCCTGGGTTTAGCAGGCCAATGCTCAAACCACTGAGCTTTCCATCTCCCCTTTCCTGATCATAACCTCACTTCAAACTAAATTTTAGCAGAAATCCAGACTTCTCTGTCCCTTTCTCAGACTGTGAAGATTATAGCCAGTGTCCTAACGACATCTGTACTGTAACATCTGGGCTGTCCATGCTCACAGCTGTGTTACTCAGGGCCACATCTGGTTCTAGAGGAGCCATTTCAATACGGTTCAAAAGCAGTTCTGTAAATAAGATTTAAACCCGGCTGGCCTGGCTAGCACAGCCTCAGTGGAAACCCCTGCAGGTCACCTCTATTGATTCAAGAACCCAGGGTTGTGAAATGGCTGGATCTGCTGTCAAGGCTGCAGTGTCAAAGGAGAGGGCCAGCAGACTCAGCCAGCTTTTTCAAATGGTTGCACAGAAAAGCCTCGAAGGTGCCACAAGTCCTCCTGTTCTTTTTTGCGGATACAGACTAGCACAGCTGCTCCTCTGAAACCTGTCAGAAAAGCCTTGACAGACATCCCCTCCCCCCCCTCCCCCAGCAGCTGCCCCTCTAGGCTGAAGCAGCTGGAGGCCAAGGAAGGGCATTGGGAGCTCAGTTTGCTGACAGAAGGGACAGGAAGGTTTCATTCTTCCTCTCTGTACACATCTGAATTTAGGCTGAAGACACTTACAGCTTGTGTGATGCCAAACACCTCCCAGCCAGAGCCCTGCAAAGCGATAAGTCTGGCTGCTAGCAGCTTCTTCCCTTCAAAGGAATCCAGTTTGTTCTTGTCCAGGACTTGATAGACACTCACCTGGGGATAGGGAATACAAGGCAGTTAGCACCAGGAGCCACTGGAAGAGGAAAATCTCATTGAAAGTCTATGTTTTAAAGGAGAAGAGATGGGGGAAAGTCAAGTTAGCCTAGTCAGAAACCTCTGTAATCTAAGGCCTGGTCTACCCATAAAAATTGCACCAATTTTTTAGAAACTGATTTACTTAAATTTGTGCAACTTATTGTGTGGACACTGAAATTGATTTAAAAGTGGTTTATATTGATTTAGCTTAAGTCAGTAAGGATCCAACTTTGGTGAGGTCAGCACACAAACCAGGAGCCAAATCCCACTTTCAGTAAATGTACAAGAGTCACTCCAGATTCATAGTAGTGTCACTAGAGCAGAATATGGCCCATGCACTTTCCAAGCAGAGGCATGTGCGCTTCTCATCTCTCCTTACCTGGCAGAAGTGATGTCTCTTGTAGAAAGGTCCCTCAGCCACCTTAGTCCGCAGTCTGAAGAGATGCAGCTCTGCTGTCAGGATCCTCTCGTTCTTAGCCACACTCGATAAGATGAACAGGAAATGCATCTCATCACTGTGAGCTGGACCAAAGGGTCAGATTAGAAACTTTGGTGACCCCAGTTTCAGCCAAACTAAAAGGAACATCACATGGGCGCATTCTAAACACTCTATTCTGATGCTGCACATTCTCTGGGAGGATGTGCTTCATCAGCGCATATGGGATACTGCTTACTCCAGGCCTCCCCTTGGCTTCTAGGATTCAAACAAGCACCAAGAGCCCTGGAAAACTACACACAAACTCTAGCAGATCAAACCATTAGGGCAACCGAAGCCACCAAGAGTTCTTACTTTTATCCAAGAAGCTGCGGACGGTGTTTCCCTCCAGGATGTCAGGGTCTTTGGTGATGCCATCAGCTCCTGCTACCGTGTTGTACAGGTCCACCATGTACTGGGGAGGCTGCTTGATATGATGGGGAGAGCGGGGAGGGTCTTCTATGCCAAATACTTCCAAAAGCCTCCTAAGAGCCTCTGTTCTTGTGTCTTCTGAATCCTCCTCTGGAAGGACATTGGGGGGTCTGGGATTGCAGCTTTGCAGCCTGGCAAGAAGCAGCAGCAACAGGAGTCTCAGCATGGCTGTCCTCTTCCAGTCCCCCTGCATAACTCCCACCCTCTATCCAGCACCACATTTATAACAGGGGGGAGAGATGGAATTAAGTCAAATATGTAAATGAGCCATCAGGAAGGGTAAAGAGAGCTAATTGCAGCGCTAACAAGGTGTGAAACTGGGCTACTGAACGCCTTTCAGCAATTAGCCCAGTACACAAGCTGTATGGAGCAGGAAGCCCACTTGTGTACTCTTGTTATTTGAGAGCAGAATGTGGAGGGAAGGGAGCAGGCAGGAAGGGCACCTGCGCTGCTCTCTGGAGTAAACATCCATGTCCATTGTAGTAAGGCAGTGGCTGAGCCGAGTTTGCTCTCCATAGGAGACTAACTGCCTTCTAATGATGGCATTAATGGGGCAAACAGGAGGACCTTTGTGCTCAGGAATTGAACAGCTCTGAACAAAGAGTGGAGAAAAGGGTGGAATGGACTCTGCCCCTCATGTAGCAGAGGTAAGAAATGCACCTGACAGATAAGAACCACTGTCCAGAGTGATGAGAGATCAGGGCCAAGAGACATTTTCTAGTGCAATATTCAAGGAAGATACTTCAAACCATGCATAACATTGGGGGGTGGGGGGAGGAAAGAGAGGGCAGGGACAACAGACTGCCACTAGTCTGAAAACAAATACCTGGACCTCGGGAGAAGTGCAATAGACCCACCACCTTCAACCACCACCGTTATAACCATCTAGATCTGTTCTGAGCAGGGTTAGACGCTCAGGTGATTAAAATAGCTTAATACTGTAGACACAGTCCCATATTGACTGGATAGAGGGGCTCAAACCCCATTCCCTGCTGTGAAAACAACTCCTGGGCATATGGTTGTTGCACTGAACTACCTCCTAACAGCAAATCAGTGCTCAGTCGGGGCTAGTGGATCAGGCATTGCTGTGGGACAGCTCTGTCCCTACCCTGCTGAGAAGTCACTTGCCCTCCGTTTCTCTTCCTACCCTTTGTCTGTCATGGCCATTTATAATGTATATTCTTTAGGGTGGAGACTGTGTCACTACGTGTCTGGACTACCATGGCAGGCTCCAGGTGCTACCGCAATACACATGAGAAATAAGAACCGTTTGCCAGGCTGGTGAAGATGAGATACACCTCAGGCATGCCAGGATGAAAAGCCAAGAGAAGTGTGAGAGCAACCCCAGATTGCTCATGAGCTCTTGGCCTTAACATGGGCCCCTCCCAGCCAAAGCTATTCCCTTCACGATGAAGTGAGCTGTAGCTCACGAAAGCTTATGCTCAAATCAATTTGTTAGTCTCTAAGGTGCCACAAGTCCTCCTTTTCTTTTTGTGGATACAGACTAACATGGCTGCTACTCTGAAACCTGTCCCCTTTCGCTCACTTTACTCATAAAGTGACTGAGAAAGTGCATAAAGCCATTTTAAACAGAGGAGTGAATAGAGCCCACATCTTCAACATGAAAGACTGTTATCCCCTTAGTCACACTGCTTTTCAGCAGACACCTGCTAAATCTCTGTTCTTGGGTGTTCAATCTGTACATTCCTCTCCCAGATCCAGGAAGAGAAACCAGGACGCATGATTCTCAGCATTCTACTGTTGTCTAGAAAATATTTGTGCAACCCCTTTGTAAAGTGTTTGCTCTCTTAACTAGCAGAGGGTTGTGGTGAGGCTATGGAGATCATGCTGCTGACTAGGTAGAATGGGGGAGCTTTGGGATACCCTTGATAGAATTTCTGTTTCCCTGTTTAGTTAAGGCTATAGAATCATAGAATCATAGAATATCAGGGTTGGAAGGGACCTCAGGAGGTCATCTAGTCCAAACCCCTGCTCAAAGCAAGACCGATCCCCAACTAAATCATCCCAGCCAGGGCTTTGTCAAGCCTGACCTTAAAAATATCTAAGGAAGGAGATTCCACCATCTCCCTAGGTAACGCATTCCAGTGTTTCACCACCCTCCTAGTGAAAAAGTTTTTCCTAATATCCAAACTAAACCTCCCCCACTGCAACTTGAGACCATTACTCCTCGTTCTGTCATCAGCTCCCACTGAGAACAGTCTAGATCCATCCTCTTTGGAACCCCCTTTCAGGTAGTTGAAAGCAGCTATCAAATCCCCCCCTCATTCTTCTCTTCCGCAGACTAAACAATCCCAGTTCCCTCAGCCTCTCCTCGTAAGTCATGTGTTCCAGTCCCCTAATCATTTTTGTTGCCCTCTGCTGGACTCTTTCCAATTTTTCCACATCCTTCTTGTAGTGTGGGGCCCAAAACTGGACACAGTACTCCAGATGATGCCTCACCAATGTCGAATAGAGGGGGACGATCACGTCCCTCGATCTGCTGGCAATGCCCCTACTTATACATCCCAAAATGCCATTGGCCTTCTTGGCAACACGGGCACACTGTTGACTCCTATCCAGCTTCTTGTCCACTGTCACCCCTAGGTCCTTTTCTGCAGAACTGCTGCTGAGCCATTCGGTCCCTAGTCTGTAGCAGTGCATGGGATTCTTCCGTCCTAAGTGCAGGACTCTGCACTTGTCCTTGTTGAACCGCATCAGATTTCTTTTGGCCCAATCCTCTTAGTTGTCTAGGGCCCTCTGTATCCTATCCCTACTCTCCAGTGCATCTACCTCTCCTCCCAGTTTAGTGTCATCTGCAAACTTCCTGAGGGTGCAATCCACACCATCCTCCAGATCATTTATGAAGATATTGAACAAAACCGACCCGAGGACCGACCCTAGCTAAGTGTCTCTATCCAACTGGATTTTGCATTTTCTAAAATGTACAAAAATGTCAAATCAACCTGAAAAACTAGGAATTTGGAAGTATGAGAAAGGATTCACAAGGTCATGTCAGACAGAGCCAGGAACAAAAACTAGCTCCCTCATGTAGCACAACCAATAATTAAGCTAAATGAATGTCCTTGTCTATGCAGACTGTTCAGTGCACCTACTCCTGCATATCCATCTCTGCTAAACACAGTGAGACATGCAGATGAATTTTCCTTGTAAACAGTTGCACACAAACACAGGTCTGTGCAGTGAATGAGGCAAGAAGTTTGAAAGAAAAGATGATGAGCCTATGGTTGATACAATGGACCACAGTAGGACTGGTTTCTATCTCTATCTCTGCACAGATTTCCTATGTGCTCTTGGGTAAGACATTTACCACAGAATGTTTCTAGGTGGCTAGTAATTTTGGCCTTAATCTCTCTGGGCCTCAGTTCCCAGGATGCAATGGGAATAATACTCCTGCCCTGCCTCACAGAAGAGCTGTGTAGAGAGAAGGAAGAGGCATTGGAGAGATGGGGATTGAACAGAGCCTTCTCAGGTAGTGGGGCAGAAGCTGGGCTCGGGAGGGGGCCTGAACCTCTGCTGTGCAGGGAGGGAGTAGAGAATGGGGTGCCTAGGAAAAGCAGTTTGGAGAGCTGGAAGACAAAGCCAGAGACTCTCTTCTGTGGTTTGTGTAGTGACCCGACCACCACCTTAGGTGCTGTAGGAAGCACAGAGGGGCCATGCCCACCCCTCCAGCCGTTGGGTCACTTCTTGTCAACTTTTGTGACTTTACTGTGAGTCTCACGATATTTGGTGTTTTTTTCTTAAATCCCCAGTTTCTGGAGTCATGGGATTATGTCAAAATCTCAGTTTCTTTCTTCTTACTTTTTTTAATGTAATTTTCTAACCCTTGTGGTTAAAAGCTTGAAAATATGCCCTGAGAGTAACCTAAAGTCTCAGAAACCTGAAGATTAAGGGGGAAACTCCCCACTACCACATTCAAAATTTTAAAAAACCCTCATGATTTTTAGGCCAATCTCTTGTATTTTTGGACCTGAGTCAAAATTTTTGAACACTTGAGGTTGGCAATACTGGGGGGACTCACCATCCCTTAAGAACAGCCATACTGGGTCAGACCAAAAGTCCATCTAGCCCAGAATCCTGTCTTTTGACAGTGGCAAATGCCAGGTACTTCATAGGGAATGAACAGAACAGAACTGAGCCTTAGGACCAGAGGCCGCTCTAGCTATAAACAAACTATGCAGCTGTCTAGGATGGCAGTGCTGGCCTGGCCACTCCTGATGGAGGGGTGGTAGAACCAAATTTGAGTGGTGTTGTGATCCTGTGTGTCAGGGCCAAATATGCCAACCTAGGCCTATGAGGAGCGGGGAGGCACACTGAAGTTTTGCCTAGGCTGGCAGATTGTCTGAGCAGCCTCTGTTTAGAAGACTCATAATGACCTTTCCCCAAGAGGCTATTTTGGCTTGTTTAGGGCAGATCTGTGCCTCAGGAGCCTTTTAAAGCTCTTGGGACATCCCACATTCCCCATCATCCATTCTCTGGTGGTGGGGATGCTCTGTGGGGGCCTTTGGGGGTACATCACAGTTACATTGAGGGCATATTTGGACATGTTGCAGGACCATGGGTCACTGCTGTGCTCTGTGTAAGGGTTTTGGTTTTAAATTGACAATAGTGATTATGCTCCAGGTGTTTCTGAAGCCACGTTACCCCAGTTCACTACACTCCCATCTCTGAGACAGGTTTCAGAGGAACAGCCGTGTTAGTCTGTATTCGCAAAAAGAAAAGGAGTACTTGTGGCACCTTAGAGACTAACCAATTTATTTGAGCATGAGCTTTCGTGAGCTGATGAAGTGAGCTGTAGCTCACGAAAGCTCATGCTCAAATAAATTGGTTAGTCTCTAAGGTGCCACAAGTACTCCTTTTCTTTTTATCTCTGAGACATGCATTGTTCACCATTGTCACCACACATATTGAATCTATTTCCCCATGTTAAGTATCCTCACACCTTCTTGTCAACTGTCTAAATGGGCCATCCTGATTGTCACTACAGAAGTTTTTTTCTCCTGCTGATAATAGCTCATCTTAACTAATTAGCCTCTCACAGTTTGTATGGTAACTTCCAACTTATCTGTATATATATTCCATTCTATGCAGCCAACGAAGTGGGCTGTAGCTCATGAAAGCTTATGCTCTAATAAATTTGCTGGTCTCTAAGGTGCCACAAGTCCTCCTGTTCTCATTGTCACCTTAGCACTGTACCCCAGATGAGATCAGGGGGAAGTCTGGGGACAGACATGGGGAGAATGTTGTGACATACGTTTCCCTAGTAGTGATCAGGCTCTTTTCTTTGACAAGATTGTGGCTCTCAGGGGAGCTGTTGTGCAGGCAGGAACTCTCCGGCAGTGGTTCTCTCTGCAGCACTAGTATCAGGGGGAAGTCAAGCTCCCTGAGACACAGAGCAATGTCTAGCATTGTCTATAAAGACCTGCTGTCCCAGCCATGGCAGATGAGTAAACCCACTCTGGGTTAGAGACAAAGGCCAGATCCAAAAGTTATCTAGGCACCCAATTCCCATTGAAATCGCCTCCTCTCACCCCATATCCCTGATGAGAACGTTAGTATGAGAAGGAACAGCAAAGCACAGACTGACGAAAAGTAGAACATGTACAATTAACGGGCTGCTTCACACACGGCCCAACCATGGAACCTTAACTCAGCTCTCTAGGGAGGGCAATGGCAATAGCATGACCTTACCTCTCCCTCACAGCCAACGCCATTTTCTCTCTGCCAACACAACTCCACATCAGGACGCTTTTATCATCCATCCAACGGGACCCTCAGCACGGCCTGGCCAGCAGCAATATAGGGATCACACTGGACACACTGAACTACCCTGTCCTCCTCATTTCCAGCTGCAGTCTCAATTAAAGAGGCTAATGATGGATTAGAGGATTCCCTGTTATTATGTTCCCGTGTTTTAGGCAAATATTCCCCATTCCCAAAAGAACAATCCAGCAAGGAGCTGCCATCTCATGGGGAGGGGTATGGGGGGGAGTAACATTATACAGTCATTCTGTGTGTGTGAAACAGCCCCTTAGTGGGGCATTTCATGGTCTTTATACAAACCAATGGTGTGGCCTCATCTGGAATACTGTGTGCAATACTGGACAGCTCAAGTCAAAGAGGGTTTAGTAGAGCTAGAGGGGATTCAGAGAAGAGCGACAAGAATCATCAAGAGGCAGAAAAAACTCTCATATGAAAAGCAATTGAAAAGACTGGGACTGTTACCTGAGAAGAGAAATGAATATGAAGGGACATAATAAAAGTCTAAAAAATAATTACTTGTCTAGAAAATGTAGATCAGGACCATTTGTTATCTCTGCCACAAACACAAGAACTGGGAGAATTTCAATGAAATTAACACGTGGGAAATTCAGAACTGATGAAAGGAAATGCTTTTTCACACAGTGTGCGATTAACTGTGGAACTCATTGAGGCCAAGAATTTAACAAGATTCAAAGAAGCATTGGACATTTCTATGGATATCAAGAATATCCAGCGCTACCATAATTCATTATAACAACAATTTCCAGAAGGGGTAGATAACCTTGTGCTTCAGGTTTTAAGCCAGTCTCTAACTATTAGAGACCAGGATGAGACCTATGTGGGGTGGAGGTTGGGGCAGATTATCTCACATCTGCTACCAAGGGGTTCTTAGTTACACCTTCCTCTGAAGCACCTGGTGCTGGCCCCTGTCAGAGACAGGATACTGGACTAAATGGACCTCAGCTCTGATAGAGTCTGACAATCCTTATGTTCCTGAATTCCTTTGTACGTTTGCACTTCACTAGCAAGCATTGCCAGGGCTATGCATGAGGGCAGGGAGCTTAACTGAGTATTTCTTATATCCGAGGGGTAGCCGTGTTAGTCTCGATCTGTAAAAGCAGCAAAGAGTCCTGTGTCACCTTAGAGACTAACAGACGTATTGGAGCATGAGCTTTCGTGGGTGAATACCCACTTCATCGGATGCATCCAACGAAGTGGGTATTTCTTGTAAGTCTGAGTCCAAGGTTTTGAAGTGCCTAGCTCTGGAAGGGTCTGGGGAAAAGGTGGCACTGTGTGTGGAAGGACCTTAGTAATACATCATACATTTTTGTAAGTAATACATAATACATTCAGCCATGATAAACCAAGGACATCCTCTTCTGCCCAGGTCTGTGTTACCTATTACCAAGAATTACAGCTTGGTTGTATGTGCACAAAGCAGCAACAGTCTTAGGACCAATGGACTAGCCAGCATCCTACAACACACAAAAGATGCATCCCCTGCTGTGTTGAAGGAAGCAGCGTCTTGCACCCATTAGTAAACTGCCACTGTGAGTGGCACATCAGCACACACACAATGAGGAGAAAGAATTAAGGAGAACAGCCATGAAACGGTTCTGCCAAAACCACATGTTTAAGCCCCTGGGTAAAAGATAGAGGACAGGCACAAAATGGGAATTACCAGATAGCATCCCCCTCTTCCCAACCTTGGGGCAGATGCAGATGAAGATGGTGATGGAGTAGCACCATGCAGGAATGGCAGGCTAATGCATTTTTTTACCTGGGTTGGTAAATTTTTGTGGCAGTTCTGAGAGGCTGACTTAGATTAATAGTATGGGTAGGAATTCAAAAGGCAAACATACATTGATACATTTAGCCAAAATTGTCAGACCTGTGCCTAGAATTGGACTCCTAAATCTCTATGCAGGAACCTAAATAAAAGTGACCTGATTTTCACAGGTATCACTGAATTCAGGGTCTTCCCCACCTTTGAAAATCTGGCTTTCGGAGCCCAACTTTAGGTAGCCACTTTGGAAAAACTGGGGGCTTGGGGAAAAGACTCCGAAGCACAGACACTGAACCGGCGGGAGACGAGTGAGAGGCATTAATGCAAAAAGAGACCAAAGTGTGATTATGGACAACAAATTATATCAGATTTTCATATAATCACAGAAATGTAAGGAATTGCGAGAGGTCATCAAGTCCAGCCCCCTGCACAGAGGCCAGACCAAGTAAACCTAGACCATCCCTGGCAACCTGTTCTTAAAAAACCTCCAATGATCCTCCTCAGAAGCCTATTCCGGAGCTTAACTACTCTTACAGTTAGAAAGTTTTTCCTAATATCTAACCGAACTCTCCCTTGCTGCACATGGAGCCCATTACTTCTTGCCCTGCCTTCGGTGAACATGAAGAATATTTGATCACTGCCCTCTTTATAACAGCCCTCAGCATATTTGAAGACTGTTATCTGGTCTCCCCCAGTCTTCTTTTCTCAAGACTAAACAAGCCAAATTTTTAAAACCTTTTTTCATACATCAGGTTCTCTAAACCTTGTGTCCGTTTTGGAGCTCTCCTCTGGACTCTCCCCAGTTTAGCCACATCTTTCCGAACGTGGTGCCCAAAGTTTCACACAGTCTCCAGCGGAGTACTCAGGACTTTGCAGTGGGGTAGGGCAAAACCTCTGTATGCAGCAGCAGCAACACACAAAATTTGAATATTTCCAGGGGTATGTGTGGCATTTTGGTTCATGACTAAGGCCTCCCACCTGCAAGCACAGATACTGTAACTTTACATATATGAGCAAGTCCATTGACTTTAGTGGAGCTGCTCGTATATATGCAAAGTAAAGTACACGCATAAGTGTTTGCAGAATCATGCCTTAATCCATATTTTTATTTATTATGTGTGTTGTTTTAGCTCCTAAAGGCACCAATCAGGGATCTGGGCCCCATTGTGCTACCTACTGAATACACATATAACTAAAAGATAGTCTCTGCCCCAAACAATTTAAAATATGGCTATATCTACCTAAATAGCAAAGGCCCAGGGTACCAGAAGAATGAAAAGAGCTGCAGTGGCTCAAGAGAGACTGCCAAATTAGATTAACTTCCATTTTCAATGGAAATTTAAGGTCTGTTTCAGGAAATGGGGAAAGTTTAGGCCCAATTCTTAATTTTCCTGAATTGATTTTCCCACCCCTAGTTATATACTAAGAATATTAAAGCAATTGTCTATCATACCCTCAAAGCATACACATATACATGAGAGATGGGTAACTGTACAAAAATGTTTTGCAAATACTCATTCAAATTTTTCATTGAGTTCATTTCAGCTATGTTCCTGCCCCTTTTGTTATCACTTTCTACAAACATTTGTGTGATCAAGTTTTGCTGGCACAAGTGTTTATGGCACATTGGAATAGTCATAGAAAGAGAATTTAAAATTCACTTTCCAGGAGTACTCATATACTCTCTATTTTAACGGTAAGTAAGGAGGATGATGAACAGCATCTACTAAAATTAAAAACCAGGTAACTGCACCTGAGTTTTAAAGGAGTTGTCTGAGACTCCTGGACAATTGATATTATTAAAGGCTTAGAAACATGCATTATAGTGATAGACTCAAGGAGCTCAATTTATTTAGCTTAACCTTAAAGATAAAGGTTAAGGGGTGACTTGATTACAGTCTGTAAGTGCCTACATAGGAAAAAATATCTGATAGTGGTTTCTTCAATCTAGCAGAGAAAGGTATAACATGATCCAATGGCTGGAAGTTGAAGCTAGACAAATTCAAACTGGACATTTGGCATAAATTTTTAACAGTGATGGTAATTAATAATTGGAACAATTTACCAAGAGTCAGGGTGGATTCTCTATCATCGGAAATTTTTAAAACAAGATTTGATGTTTTGCTAAAAGAACTACTCTAGGAATTAGGTTAGGGATGTGCTATGGTCTGCGTTACATAGAAGGTCAAACTAGATTATCATAATGATCCCTTCTAGCCTTGGAATCTATGAATCACAGAATCCTAGAATATCAGGGTTGAAAGGGACCTCAGAGGGTCATCTAGTCCAACTCCCTGCTCAAAGCAGGAACAATCCCCAACTAAATCATCCCAGCCAGGGCTTTGTCAAGCCTTACCTTAAAAATATCTAAGGATGGAGATTCCACCACCTCCCTAGGTAACGCATTCGTGTTTCACCACCCTCCTAGTGAAAAAGTTTTTCCTAATATCCAACCTAAACCTCCCCCACTGCAACTTGAATGATGTTCAATCTTTGATGTTAACTCTGAATAACTTGAAAAACTGAGAAAATTCCAGATGACCAGACAAAAGCCAATGTTTTGCCAATATTTAGAAAGGGTATATGGAGAGACTAGTTATAGGCTAGTAGGTCTGACATGAATTCTGGGAATATTACTGGAAAGACTGATGTGGAACAAAAATATAATTCATGCCAACCATGGTTTCATGGAAAATAGGTTTTGTCAAACAAACTTGATATCATTCTTTGATACGATTACAAGTCTGATTGATAAAGGTAACTGTGTTGAGGTAATATACTTGAATTTTGGCTTACAACCATGTGATTCCAACTGAAAAATTATCACTATACAAAATCCATGTGGCACATATCAGACTGCTCAAAAAAAACCTGATAGCTCTCAAAACCTAATTGTAAATGGGGAATTTATCAATGAGTTGAGACTCCTCAGGGAATGGTTTTCTCTCAACTCATTCAATATTTTTATCAATGATTTGGAAGAAAATATAAAACGATTTCTGCTAAAGTTTGCTGATCACACAAATGAGGGGTGGTAAATAATGATAGGGACAGGTCACTGAGACAGAGCAATGGGATATCTTAGTAAATTGGCCACAGTCAAACAACACTGATTTTTAATACAGCCAAATGCACAGCCAGACATTTAGGAACAAAGAAATAGGTCATTCTTAGAGGACAGCAGACTGTAGTCTGGAAAGCTGTGACTCTGAAAGGAACTTAGAGGTCATGGTGGAAACCTACTCAACAGGAGCTCCCATTGCGCTCTTGTGGCTAAAAGAGCTGAAATGATTCTTCAATGTGAAAACAGGACTAGGGAGGTGATATTACATCTGTATACAGCATTTATGAGACCACGACTAGAATACTGTGTGACGTTTCGGTGTCCATACTTTAAAAGGGATATTAAAAAATTGGAGAGGGTTCAGAGAAGAGCTACAAAAACAATTCAAGGTCTGGAAAACCTGCCTTACAGTGAGATACTAAAGGTACTCAATCTTTTTAATCTATTAAAGATTAAGAGATGATTTGAGCATGACCTATGATTACCTACAGAAGGAGATACTAGATATCTTTGAGAGGCTCGTTGATCTAGCAGAAAAAGGCATAACAACATCCAATGGCTAAAAGTTGAAGCTAGACCAATTCATATTGGAAATAAGATGCAAAGAGGTAAATGTATCACCACCTGGAGTCTTTACACTGAGGTTGGATGTGTATTTCTAAAAGCTACGCTCTAGTCCAACCACCAGTCACTGGGCCAGATAGTGTCAGGGACACACTAGGGAGTTCTCTCCCCTGCAAGAACTCTCTGAGTCTGGCCTATGTTATGTACGATGTCAGACTAAATGATCAGACTGGTTCCTTCTGGCCTTAAAACCTCGGAGCAGGTGGCTGGGGGCAGTACAGGTTCAGTGAATTGCCCAGGCAGCCTCTGCCAGCTGGGCTCTTAGGCTGCTTCAGTCATATTTGCAAGCTGTGCTGCCCTCATCCCAGAGTCTGCACTTTAGCTTGATGGAGAAAATGGTCGAAGGGTTAAAATGATGGGAGAACATTGGACTGCTCTCGTCAGCCACCTGGAGTCAGCCAGCAACACTCTGCTGAAGGACCCTCCTGAGTTTGCTCTCACACCTGGCTGCAATGTTGGGCAGCTCCTTAAACCTTCAGTTGTCTCACCAGTGGAAGTGACTGCAGCCTGGTCTCCTCCTCTCCTTACAGACCCAGGACGTGCTGCTCTTCCTGATACTCTCACAGGGCTGGCAGGGGCAGAAAGGTTCTCTTTGCACCTTTCATTTCCCCCACATCACAGCCTAGACTGACTGACCTGAAAATGGATCCTCTCATGGTCAGGCAGCTTGTGGGGTGCCTGGCCCATTTGAGCCCCCTGCTGGGCTGCACGGTACAGGAGATGAAGGTTTAATGGGATTAGGATAATGTCGAAGTCTCCTTTGAAAATCGGTGTCTATAATTTATTCTAATCCAATGTAAGGAGCGTGAGAGGGCTCCTAATTATCCAGAATACACAGGAGCTAATTACAAGCAATTTGAGTAGCTTTTAGTTAATTGGCAGGAGGAAACTGTTCAGATTCTTTCCTTCCTCTGCACACTTCCCCATTGCCAAGGCCAGGGCTGTTTGTAAAACAGAACAGTGTAGGTCTGGGACTGCTCAGAGCCTACACACCAAGAAAGGGAAATGTCCAGATGGGCCTCTGCTCCAACACATTCCCCTGCCTCCCTCTCCCCCATTCCTACTGCTTCCCCACTGCTGCTCCCTCTCCCCCGATTCCTCCTTCCTCTCCTGCCTCCTCCGCTCCGTGTCTGTGTGTGTTATGGGGCGTTATCCATGTTGTCGCATTTCAAGCATATGTTGTATGTGAGTGTATATTTGTAAAAACTAAAAAATGACAAAGGTACTGGATCCTGGTGGGGTCAGTCCTGGGAAGGCCCCCTAGCTGCGCAGCTGAATTGTCTCTCGGCAGTAATGCACTTTGCCTCTTTTCACAGGACACGCAGACAGGTGTGTTTGGCATGCAGTTATTCACACAGAACATGGGAGAGAAGAACACTGAGGCACATAAAAGCCCATCTTTAGCCTTTCTAGGTTCTGGCTCTTACAAGGCCGTATTCTGGCTTTGGATACACATGGGCTCCCACTGGAGTCCTTAGGAGCTGCAAACGCTCCCCAGACACAGACTATGGCCCGCAGTGTTTATTAAAAAGTTGCAAAACATTCTGGAGGTAGTTAATTTCCACACAACCACTGTTTAAAATACCTTTAATTTATAAAATAGCCTTCTCTCATTTACATATAGTACAGACAGTCTGGCAGAGGGTGGGCACAGCAGGACAAGGTGCTATTTGCACTCTCCCCTCCCTGGAAGCTCCAATCCCTCACTCCCCGAAGTTTCTAATAACTCCCACATTTACACTTCTGGATGGCGAAGACGGTGCGGATGTTGCCACTGCGGCTCTTGAATGTGTGTGTGTTGTACTGGTGAGGGACGCAATGGCTGGAGGCACCTTCCGCCCAAACCAGGCATTTCCCTCCATTCTGCGAATCCCTTCAGTTAAAAAACAAAAGCACTGATTACCAAGATGCACAGAAGACGTAGCACTCTCAGTCTGATCAGGGATCTGGGTTCATAGCTCACATCCTCTGACAAAGCTGGGCTCACAACTCATGTCTGGTCTCTGAAGCAAGCCTGGGTGCACAATTATTATTTGTATTGTGGTAATGCCCAGCTCTCATACAGAGCTTTTCATCAGTAGATCTCACAGCCAATTACAAGGGAAGTATAATTTCCCCACATTTTATAGATGGGGAAACTGAGGCACAGAGAAGTGAATTTACTGGTTCAAGGTCACTTAGCTGACTAACAACAGATTCAGGAATAGAACCAGGTCTTCTGAGTCCCAGTCTAGTGATTTGCCCACTAGGCTACACTGTCTCTCTGCCCAGGAGCCCCCATCATGGACCAGGACCCTATTGTGTTAGGTGCTGTACAAACACAGAAAAAAAAGTGGTTCCTACCCCAAGGAGCTTACAGTCTTCAGCATGTACAGAGACACTGCAAAGAGGACAAAGCAATAGTAACAGTACAAAGAAACTATTTTTAAACACCCAGAGAAAGCATTAGCAAACTGCACAGAAGACTCTAGACAGTGGGGGTAGAGAGTGGTTAGGCTGCTCTCAGCCCCAGAAGTGGAAAGATGCACTTGGAGCATCTGCCAGTTTAGATTCTGTTTGATGCTCTCTCACAGGCTCCTTGGTTGAGCCATTTCATATTTCTGTGCCTCAATTTCCCCATCTGTAAAATGGGAATCATTTATTTATTGTTGCTTATTTGTTTTCGTTTGTGCTTATCAGAACTCCCTAGGCATGGTGCAAAACTAAAACAAACTGTAGCCAAATACATGTCAACAGGCAGCGAAAGACAGCAATTCTCATCCCCAGACAAGTTCTGACCGCACCAAACCTCAAAACAAGCAACACCACTTACCATTTCCCACACCTCACCCACCCAGACAAAGCCTAGAACAACAGGTGAGTTTGCAGCATGTCAAAAAGATGATAAAATCCAGGCTCTGGTACATCAAGGGAGAAAGTGAATGTGAAAACCAAAGACTGTCACCAAGAACACCCTATTACCAGCCCTCTCTCATTTAAACCAACTGTAGATTTGGGATGCCTGCAGAGGGACATCTATGGAGAGCAGTTTAAGGGGGAAAGATTCTACGGGGATGGCACCTCACCATGCCATGACTTCTATGGGCAAAGAAGGCAATTTCGGCCACAGATAGCAGGGCCATCATTGCCCTAGTGTCTTCAATAAGATCCTGGCTAGCTTTGGTGTCCAACAAGAAGGATGTTGCTAAATTGGAGAGGGTTCAGAGAAGAGTCACAAGAACAATGAAATGATTAGAAAATCTGCTTTATAGTGTTAGTCTCAAGGAGAAAGGTATAACATGATCCAGTGGCTGGCAATTGAAGCCAGGCAAATTCAGACTGAAAATAAGGTATACATGTTTAATGGTGAGAGTAATTAACCATTGGAACAATTTATCAAGGATCGTGGTGTATTCTCCATCATTGACAATTTTTAAACCAAGACTGGATGCTTTTCTAAATGATATGATCTAGAATTATTTGGGAGAAGTTCTATGGCCTGTGGTCAGACTAGATGATCACAGTGCTCCCTTCTGGCTTTAGAATCTATTAAATACGTAAAAAGAATTTAAGGAGTACTTGTGGCACCTTAGAGACTAACCAATTTATTTGACTCCTTTTCTTTTTGCGAATACAGACTAACACGGCTGTTACTCTGAAACCTATTAAATACGTGTGCATTTGGCTGTCTGATAGAACAAGAAAGCTTGCAAGTTCTTTGTCCAGATTCTTATAGTGCACCCACTGCTGTAGAAACAGTGTCCAAGTTATAAAACTCACACTTGGATTGCCATCTTCAGAGTCTATGCTTGATTCCCTTTGCTCGACTCTCATGACATTACTAGAAATATCAAAGTGGGATGTGAATTTGCGAAAGACCAAGTGAACTCAGTGCAAAATACCCTACCAAACTCTGAGACAGGAGCCCAATGGTACTAGCTGGCAACGGAATGAAAATGACAGACTCCTTGGAGGCAGCTTGGATGCTGACTTTACACTTGTTCAATTGAATTCAGGTCGATGGAGATACACAGATATAAGTTTGTGCAGAATTTGTCCTTCATTCTGTAAGGAAGCTGCATTTTTAGAGGATTTTAGCTAACCCTACTGTAAGGGGAGGGGCTGTGTGTGAACAGCTGTGCTTACCTAAGCAGGCAATGATTCCCTGAGGTGCAGCTCCCCAAGCACCGTCCTACATCAATTTCCTGAAAAGATTTGCAAAACAAAGACATTAAAATCACTTGCTAGGCCCTGCCAATAAACGCCCGAAGGGACACAGCATTCCAGCTACTTGGCAGTAAGTCTTGCTTGTGGGACAGTGCTGTGTGCGGATACTGTCTACATGCAAGGGGTTATTTTAACCTATCTTTAACTGATGAATCGTATTAACTCTGGTAAAGGATGCAGCTTTCATTGTGTCAGAAGTACTTTAAAGTCACATTAAACATTTGACTGAATTCTTTTGCCCAAGAAAATAAAATGAATTGCTTTATAACTTAGTTTGGGATTGTAGAGTAATCCATTGCAGTGAAATAAGACCTCACCAATACACAGATATTGTACCGGTGTAACTATTTCAATTAGATATGTGACTTTTTAATGAAGTAAACCATTGTATAACCCATAGTGTGGGCCCAGTTATGCTGGTATAAATTTGCTTATTCCATTATAACTAATTGCCCTTGACTGTATAGGAATAGCAATACCTGTATAGAGCACCCTTAAGCCAGTTTAACTTGCGTCCACACAAAAGAGGGAATTGTGCGGCTTGTAGTTAAAGCAGTACACCTTTTGTGTCTGGACGAACCCTAAGACTCTTTTAGAGCCGCATGCAGTTGACTAACCGTCAGTCGCTCCTCACTGTCCCCAGCAGAGTTGTGTATGATTTCATAATAGTATTCCACATAGGAAACTCGATAGCAGGTTTCTTTCATTTCACAGTTTTCCAGAGTTTGAACCACCTCAACACCACTTGGGCTTTTGATCAGAACACAATCGAACTTTACAGGTGCACAGAAGAGTCCTCCTGAAAGAGAATGAGAGTGAGAACGAGAGTGAGAACGAGAGTGTAATTTCATGTGGGACCCCATCCTGAGGCCTTTGCATGTGCAACATTCCTGCTGGGCATTGTCAGCGTGAGTTCTGTGTACAGAGCAGCTGCAGAATCAGGCCTAAATCATGCAAAGTACAACATGGAAAGTGCTCACTTTCTAGGTTAGGAGCTGGTCTCTCAGTTAGCAAGCCCTGGGCACACTTCTTATTGCCAACTTGAGCCACTGTTTTGATTGTTATGTTGCTGCCTTGGTGATTTCACTGCGTGTGGCAGTGATATTATGCTAGATGCAGACATCATGCACCCAAGAGACATACTTTCCTTCTCCAGGGGCCAAATCCCAAAGTCCACTCTTCGAAATCTGTTCGAGTTATGCCTGAGGAAGAGCTGCCAGACTTATACCCAATGAATATTTAATAATTTTTTAAACATATTAATGGCTGAGCTACCAACAGGTCTAGGGAGGAAGAGAATTTACTTTTACATGGTTCTTACATCGTGCAGGAAGCCAAAGCCCTTTGCAAAGGAAAGTATTGTCCTCAGAGCTACTTTGAGGAGTTGGGTGGTAAAGTAGCATATTGTGATGTTCAATTTTTCTGGATCGCCTTTTGGATTTGATTAGCTCCTCTCCTCATGATCCCCTGCCTGAGCTAGCAGACATCACTGTGGTCTGACATCTGCTTCACACTTTCAGTTTGGATCTTAGCGTTGAACACTTCCTGCCCTTCCATAAATTTTCACTATTATTTTCACTCAGGTCTGACAGACACTGGCTCATTGAGGTGATGAATGTTCTCTGATATTCCTCCATTGCACAGCATTACGGTTTATAAGCTGTACATTTTCATGCTGTGGTTTTGATAAAGCCAAGGGTTGATATCTATTCCAGGCAATTGGTGAAGGGAGTCAATATATAAATGTCTGGAAACTGGTAAAGGACACGTATTATTGGCGTGATCATTATGGGGATTCAAGAGGGCTCCGTATTCAATGGGCTCCGTGCTGTGACCTACACTATCAGCACTCTTGTTCAGCGGTTTTTAAAAGTTACCGTGGACTCACTTCTTACACTAAAGCTTCTCCCATGGACTCTTAACCATCCAGCCTCTCATCCTGATCCCATCCCTACTTTGAGGCAAGTACATGTCCAGACAATGGCTAGCTCCAGTAAACTTGAGAGGAGGAGATTGCTCCTTGAGACAGACAGCCCAAAAGGATGGGGTAAGGGTGGGACCATGGCCCACACCAGCCAGTAGAACTGATGCAGTTCTGTACATACTAAACCCTATTAAAGGGCATGACATTCCCCCTCTCTGGTTTTCCAAGGGATTTCAGCATTACTATCCTCGAGTCCCCCCCCCAAACAAGATCTGTGGTTTCAAAGCCACAATGTAGCTGTGTGAAAAGACAATATATTAAGCCAGGAATCCAGTCTGGTCTGTGTAACCCCTCTAAGAAGCCAAGATGATACTGAACTCATTAACAGGGTCAGCCACTGGGCTACACCTCCCCTTTTGTCTTGGTGCCCTGGGTGTGGCACTTTATTTGTATTGGTAGTGACTCTCCCCTTGTTTCTCTAATCGCTCTGCAGCTGGGTACTGTCTTCCTGCATGTCTCATACTCATCCAGTTCTAGTGTCCAAAAAACTGATCACAGCTGAATTTGCCCCAAAGACAGACACACAGCAGCCACCGGGAAAGCGGGTGAAGAGGTAGTTGTTTCAATATAGTTGGTCAAAACCACAACATCAGCACCTCAAACCCTAGGTGAGTTCCGGAGTGGTTTAGAGCCAGCAGAAAGAATCATCACTGACGGAAGACCAACAGATGCTTCATTATTAGAAGCAGCTTTGCAAACCACCTGGCAGTGCTCTGTGGAAAACAGCACAAGAACCACTGTCCTAGAAGGAGGTGTAAATTCAACAATGGTCCAGTTTGCAGATGATGCCAGCACTGGATGGGGAGCAAACAACCAGGGCAGAAATAAACTACAAAATGTCCTGAAGGGATTAGTACAGACTGAGACAAGGCGAGATTCAGCACTTATAGGAGGAAGCCCTATGTCCAAGGAGCGGAAACAAAATGGAGAGATTGAAAGCAGGACCTTGGGGTGCCAGGTCATGGGCTCACACACTGGTTTCCTCATCCTGAGTGTGGCTACTGTGATATGAAATAACCCTCATCAGCAACAACATTCTTAAAGCAAACTACATTTATTTAAAATAGCAAAGTGACTGACTTGAAGGGTACACACAATCTGTCCAATATGGCTCTTTGTTAATGCATTAGTTGAGCATAAGAACAGATGTTCTTCTCTAACCTTCTCAGCCCCCTTTCTCCCTCCTGTGAGGTAGGTAAATAAGGATGAAGATCCCTGTTTTACAGGTGGAGGAGGGTGGCTAGTGATACAGCTAATAAGAATCAGACCCAGGAGTCAAACTCTGGTTCTCTGGCTTGTAGGTTGAGCTCCCCCCGCCCTTCAGGCAAGTCATTCAGCCTTTGTGACTGCTGTAAAGAGGGTGTGAGAATACTTTGTGCTTTTCCAGCTGTGCATCTCCAGGCACTTGACAACACAGGAAAGGTGTCATTGGCCTAAATGTTCGAAACTGACCAGCGATCAGGTGCCCAGCAGCAGATGCCTAGAAGGGGCCAGGCTTCCAGGGGGTGGGTGCTCAGCACTGTCTGGAAACTGGGCTCCCTCAAGGTGTCTCAATTTGGGCATCCCAATAATCCCTGGTCATTTCTGAAAACTGAGAACTACTGGGGGATTTTCAGATCTGCCTCTAGGATTCTGAGGCCCAATTCATCCAATGTGAACTGGGCGTCCACATCCTTTGTGCAACTTTGAAAATCTCAGCCCAGCCATTATTGTCACTTTACAGATGAGAGACAGAGAAAGAGAAGCAATTTGAGCTGACACAGGAAGTCAGATGCCAAGCCAGGAACAGAACCAGATCTCCAGCGTCCCACCCCTGGGCTTTAACCACTAGATTCTTCCTCACATACCTTACTGTGTCCTATGTGGGAACAAAAGATATTTTAAGTAGAGAGACTCTGCTACACTCAGCATCCCACACCACATTCCTCCAACCACACATCGAATATCCTGAGGGAAAGAAAAGCCTCCACTGAGCTTGGAGACAGAGGGCCTAATTCTTCCACCCTTACACCTGTGTAATTTGCATATACAGTACTTCCACTCACTTTAGTTCTGCATTATTTAGTTCTTGGTTGGCTGTGTCCTCCTACCAGATCTCACACATGCTGTCTGGCTGGAGGAGGCCAAACTCACTACACATGCCCGCTCTGTTCCAGGAGTCCGAACAGCACCTTTCACACCCAGAGGTCCCTGTGTTCCTTGTTATCATGCCATTGGCTTTGGACCATATTTTTTAAGGCATCTAGGCATTGCCAAACTCAGCATTGCAGTGCCTAGCTGATTTAGGAGCCCAAACAAGTCTATGGGATTTAGGCACCTGATACATTCAGCCTATGGGGTTTAGGCACTTGGGAATCTAATTAATAAGATTTAGGCCCCCCAGAGTACCTAAATCACTTTTCAAAATGAGTTTTAGGTTCCTAAATTAGCTAGGCATCACAACACTGAGCGCAGCAGTGCCAATATACCTTTAAAAATCTGGGCCTTTCTTGTGTAAGTCTCTCCAGACTTATTTCTGTGCTGCTGCTGTTTACATATCCCATACTTGGAGAGTGGGTCTTTGTCCCTCTCTAGTGGCTAGTCCACATAAGATATTTATTAGTAGAGCTGGTCAAAAACCTTCTGATGGAAGAGTTTTTCCACAGAAAATACCGATTTGACAAAACTGAAAGGTTTCATGGAATCCTATCAATTTCAACAAAATTTTCAACAGGAAGTTATTGTAATAATTTGTTTATACTTTATCATTTCAACTTAGATGCTATATTATGTTATAAGTTATAACATGACCGAAAAGTCAAAACGATTAAGTTTGAATGAAACTTTTCAACCTCATTGAAATGAAATGTTTCAAGAAAATAGTTTTGATGTGTCTGAAACATTTTTTGCAATTTTTGTTTTATGGTAAATTTTGAAAATGCAACTTTTCATTCCAAGTGAGGATGAAAGGACATTTTGAAATGTTAGAATTCCCTGCAGAATGGACACTCTGGTTCCTGAGCAGCTCTGCTCATGTGTCTGCGGCTGCTGGACTGGACTGGTTTAAGTCCAGCAGCAGAAAGTCAGGGTTTTAGCACTGAAGGTTACAAGTTCAAAGCTGGAGGTCACTCCAGATAAAGTATCAGGCCCGAAGGGGGGGGGGGGGGGGCAATTGCCCAGGTGATTTAAAAGGGCCTGGGGCCCCCAGCTGGTCTGCTGCTATAGTTGCGGCAGCAGCTGGGAGCCCCAGACCCTTTTAAATCGCCCGGGCAGAAGCGGCAGGCTGGCGGGCTGGGGAAGTTGGTGGCTGCTCTGTGCTGCCCCTGCAAGGAAACGCCTCCTCTCCGCCACAGGACCCAGCCCCAGGCAGGGAGGGCTGGGTGCGGCCCGTGGGATGGGACTGCTCTGTGCTCCCAAGCTTCAGGTGTTCTGCCTTCTAGGACTGTTCTGGGTGGGGGGATCCCTGCTCTGCACTGGCTCAGCAGGGCCGGTGAGTGCGGCCAGGGAGCAGGTCACGGGGGAGTGGGTCTCTGTGGGGTCTGTGTGGGGTTCTTGGCTGTGAGGGGGTGTGGGGCACTGGGCGGTGGAGGAGGTTTGTGTGTGTTGGGGTGCTGGGAAATTGAGGTGGGGCTGTGGGAGCGCTGGGCAGGGATGGTGGCGTGCAGGGTGCTGGGCTGCTGTGATGGGCTGTAGGCGGGGGGGGACTTGGCATAGGGAGGAGGCTGGGCATAGGCGGGTTTTGGGAGGTGGGGCTGTGTGGCATAGCATGGGCCCGCCCCCAGAGGGGAAGGGGCTTGCTGGCAGCACAAGGTTGGGCAGACCACTGTACATCTGGCAGCTGTCGGTTTGTAAATAGTGCCCTCGCACTGGGCTGGGCAGAGTGGGGCCATCCCTGCCATGCCATGCCATGCCCCATTGCCGGCCCCTCGCTCCGGGTACCAACCTCCCCCCAACATGCTCCATTGCCCCCATGGGAGCCCACAAATATATTTGGCACCAGACCCACAAAAAGTAATCCGGCCCTGACTCCAGGGTCATCCCTAGCCATTCTGGTGCCCTACACAGCCCCCCCGGGGGCGGGCTATGGGGGGCCCCAGGGCTCCATATGCCGGGGGGGTCACAGGGTCTATGCCGGCGCTCCCACTTTTGTGCCTGCACCCTGTGTTTAGGCTGGTATAATAAAGAGTCCCACCACCTTTGTGTCTTTATTTACAGTGTTCTTGTGCAGTCCCAATTCCCCCAACAACAATCACACCAGACCCCTCCCAGGGTCTTCTGGCCCTTGAGGTTCCTTCCAGTGGATAAGGAGCCAGAGAAACAGCCCTCCTATCTCCTCCCCAACCACCCCTTCACTGGGGTTTTCCCAGGGCTTTTATAGCCCTCCCACTCTTTAGCCCAGCTGTTCCCACTGGACCCTGCTTGTTGCTCTGAGCTAGCCCTCATTAGGGCTTACAGCTGGGTCCCTGCTGCATACCCATGTCTCTCTACCTGGCCTTTAGACCAGAGAGCCGTCTGCAGCCAGCATTTTGGCAGGGCTTTAAAGGGGGATTTACCCCTACCCTGCCACAGGGTGGTTGGTCCCAGGACTCCACGGGGGGCAGGAGCAGGCTTGGGGGTAGGGGGAAACCACACCCCAGCATGAGCCTGCGGAGCGGAGCAGGTTGGGGCTGGGTCGCTCCACTTCCTGCCGCCCGGTGAGTGCAGGGGAGGCCCTACCCCTGCTTCAGTCCTCACGGGAAGGGGTGGAGTGGGGCTGGGGTGGAGCAGGGGCGGGGGCATGGGCATGGGCATGGGCATGGGGAAGAGGCAAACAGGGGCTAGAGCAGCATACAGCTGCGTAGGGCACCAGGAAATGTGGTGCCCCAAATTTCCTGGTGCCCTACGCAGCTGCGTACTTTGCATATGGGTAAGTACAGCCCTGCCTGTCTCCTAGGTGCATGCTGGGTGGTACTGGCAGTGGTGAAGGCAGCTGGGCAGGCACATCCCTTTCCAGGGGGCCCATTGATTGCTCTGCCCTGGGGCTCAGAATTGCTGTCCGCAGGCCTGTAAAGTACGATGTAAACTGCACCCCTTTTATTTCAATGTGATGTTAACTTTGAAACCTAACTAGCAACTGTTTCACTGCTGGTTATTCTAGCAGAATCAGTCACCTACTGTGCTTATCCCACTATCCCAGAGCAGCCTCTACTGATGTCTATACTGCACTTTCATGGAACCCTCTGTCGCTCGGAGATGTGAAAAAACACACCCCAGAGCGACAAAAGTTTTAACGATGAAAAGCGCCGATGCGGACAGCGCTTCACTGGCAGGAGACGCTCTCCCAGCGATGAATCTACCGCCCCCCGTTAGAGGTGGTTTTACTTGGTTGCCAGCAGAGCTCTCTCCCGGTGACAAAGAGCGGCTACACTGCGTACCTTGCAGCGGTGCAGCTGTCCCCTTGTAAGGTGTGCAGTGTAGACATAGCCTTAGTCCCTTCTCCGGCACCATGAACCCCACTGGTCATAACCTCTGTCCTCCTTGAATCTGCCTCCCCCAGATAAGCTTCCACAAAGCAAGTTCTGCATTTTGAATCCAAATCCTTCCTGTGTTGTCAAACGTCACTTAGGGCACCAAGTCACTTTATTCTGGAATAATTGTGTGCTCACAAAGCAGGCTAATTATTCCAGAATAAATTCTGGAACAGAATGGCTCCACTGCCAGTTATTTCAGAACAATTTATTCCCCAAAGCTCTTCTGGTCAATTTCCCCCAGTAGACAAGCCCCTAGGATTGTTTACCTCTTTTCTGCAGCAGTTCTAAAGTGAGGGTTTCCAGGATCTTTTTCACAGTAATCTTTACTCCCATATACTTACGCCTGATCATACTGCATTTAGTGCATATTTCCCAGACAAGTTCATTGCTACTAACCCAATTATTTGGTATTTGTCTCCAGCTAAATGCATTAGCCACCTACTGCCCACCCCTTTGCAAGCTGGGGGCACTGTTCATCGCTGTTTGCTCAGCCTCCACTTTCAGTGTCATCTGCAAACTTAGGCTTTGTCCACACCAGCACTTTTGTCAGTCAGGAAAAAAACACACCCCGACCAACGTAAGTTTCACCGAAAAACGTGCCAGGGTGGACAGCACTAGGTCGGTGGAGATGCTCTCCTGCCAGAAGAATACTGCCACTTGTAGGGAGTGGTTTAGTTATGCTGGCAGAAGAGCTGTCTCCTGCCGGCTACCCGGGAGACCTTACAGCCCTGCAGCTCACTGTAATGTCTCATCTGGCGGGTGGCCCCTCTAACTGTTCCGCATTCCTTTAGAACTCCATGTAAATTATCTTCAGAGGAAAGGCGCATATTGTTATCAGTCCTCACGTCAACTCACAGAGGCAGAAAATTATCATCAAACCCATTTTACAGAAGAGGGCATTCAGGCAGAGAGAGGTCAAGTGGTTGCACTACAGGTCAACAGCAGAGGTGGGACTAGAACCCAGGAGTCCTCAGCATCAAGCCCCATACCTAATCCATACACCCTGCTGCCTCAGTGCAAGGGGCTTACATTAAATGCCAGAACATATGAACTACCCTCCTGTCTAACCAATAGTCAGACATCGCTTTAAGTAGCATAAGGGAGGTTTTTAGATTTCCCCTGTCATTCTCAGGTTGCAATAGTAGCATTTGAGGTGCTGATCCCAACCCTGAGATCTGACGAGGAGTAACCCCTTCCCCGTGTTCACCTCAGCTCATCAACTCCTCTCGCCCACCCCGTAAGATGAAGAGAGAAAAGTTCCTCCTCTTTTTCCATACCTCTTGCATGGGCTGGATTGGAGCACTTTCCAACATCCACAGTGAACTCCAATGGGGTGTCCGGAAAGAAGGTTTTCAGGGATGGCAGCCGGAGACACTCCTCTGGGCTTGCGTTACACTGGCAGGCCTCAATCACTTCCACTTCCTGAACCCCTTCAAACAGCAGCACCCGCTCCACGTGAACTCTAGTGGGTTCACAATGGGAATCCAAAGGGCAGGAACGTTCTGCTCCAGTCGACAGAGGCAGCTCCATCTGCCTGTCCTGCAACTGCACAGAACAGTCACAAGGCAGCAGGTATATTTAAAAAAAAGCAGGGGAGGGAACAAAAAGGACCCAGGTAATTATAGACCAGTCAGCTTAACTTCAATACCTGGAAAGATACTGCAACAAATTATTAAACAATCAATTTGTGAGCACCTAGAGGATAATAGGGTTTTAAGGCATAGTCAGCACTGAGATGTCACAAACAGGTCACACCAAACCAACCTGTTTTTCTTCTTTGTCAGGGTTACTGGTCTAGCAGATGGGGTGAAGTTGTAGACATGATTTGCCTTGACGTTACTAAGGCTTTTGATGCACTCCCCCATGACATACTCATAAGCAAACTAGGGAAATGTGGTCTAAATTAAATTACTCTAAGATGGATGCAAAACTGGTGGAAAAAACACACTCAACAAATAGTTATCAATGGTACGCTGTCAAACTGGGGGCATGTATCTAGTGGTGTCTTGTAGGGCTGTGTCCTAGTTCAAGTACGATTCAATATTTTCATTAATGACTTGGAAAGTGTAGTGGAAAATATGCTTATGAATACTGCCCCTCCCTCTACAGGAATAACTATCCTGGTATAGATCACATTTATACCAGGATAACTGTGTCCACTCTAAGGGCTTGTACTGTTGTATTTATATGTGTATAGTTAAAATGCTGCAACCTTTGGCGAGACAAGTCCTGAACAGCACGGGTGCTTGCTAGTTTGTTAATTAGGGTTCTTTGTCTCGGCTGAAGTGTCACAGGTCATTTTATACAAAGGGAGGGGAAGTATCCCTACTAAGGATCTGCTGGGAGAGCCCTGATGGCCAAGTAGAGAGAGGCGAACACCACAACAAATGATCTGATTCTGTGGCTGCCAATTTTACTGCCCCAGACAGGAAAATGCACCTGGCCTCTTCCCACCTGTGCAAACTGACAAGCTTAGGAAAGAAGTTTTTAATTACTGGGACCTAGTGTAGAGCAGATGTGGCCTAAAGTACCAGCATCAGTGCTAGCAAGGGTGGGGGGGATGTTAAGTGATCCCAAAGCAGGAGCATAGCCACAGGTGGGTCTGGGTGGACCGTGGCCCACCCAGATCGGGGCCGGAGCCCTCCGAATCCACAGGCTGAGACTCCTGACCCTGTCTCAGTGTCCGTCAGCCCGGCCATGTCCCTCTCCTACTGGTGCAGCGCACTGGTGCCCCAGTCTCCAGCTCCAGGGTAGCCCTGCAGGGGGTGTGCCTCGCGGGGGCGGGTCTAGCGCTGGGGCCGGAGACCAGGGCAGCAGCGCGTGGCATCAGCAGGAGATGGATGCGCCATGTGGCTGGGCTGATGGACACTGGCCCGGGGTCTGGAGGGGCAGCCTCATCTTCTGGTGCCTGCTGAGCAGTAAGGGCTGGTTAGAGGGGGTCTGGGCTCCCCCACCCACCTCCTGCCCCCCATCCCCAGGGCACTGGATCCTTCTTGCACCCCTGATCCTTCCTGCCCCCCTCCCATGGCCCCCCATCCCTCCTGCCCTTCCCGCCCCCTGTCATCGCCCACCCAAAAGCCGGGGCCCACACAGTTTTCCTGTCCTAGCTATGCCACTGTCCCAAAGTCCATCAAACACCATCTAGTCAAGATATTATAATGTAGGAAATATTGCAGAATCATAGAAATATAGGACTGGAAGCAGCATTGCCAACCCCAAATGTTCAAGAATCATGAGATTGGCTTTAGAATAATGAGATCATGTACAAATAATAGATTTGCTGCTCTTATTATTTGCCTTCTGCTTTTTGATCCTTTGGGAGCACTGGGATCACATATGGAAGCTTTCTCCTCAGGCACGAGGGCTAGAAACATAGTTTTTCTTTAGGAATGAAGGCTGAAATCATCACATATCCACTTGACTCCTGGGACTGGGGCTTTAAGGAAAACAATAATGATCATGAGAGTTGGCAACACTGTTTCTAGTCCAGCCCCCTGCACTGAGGCAGGACTAAGTACTATCTAGACCATCCCTGACAAGTGTTTGTCTAACCTGCGTATCTCCATATTCAATTGAGCTCTGGCTGTTTCTCTCTGACACCCAAGGAGAATTCTGGGCTGGCAGGACAATATGGTAGATCAGGGGTCGGCAACCTATGGCACGTGTGCCAAAGATGGCAGGCGAGCCGATTTTTAATGGCATGCTGCTGCTGGACGGCAGCAGTGAGCCATTAAAAATCCCGCCCACCCCGGCCCACTCTTCTCTCCCCCCCGCAGGGGCAGGGTGAAGAAGCTTGGTCCTGCGGGCTGCTGCTGCAGGGCAGGCAAGATCCCCTCTCCCCCGCCTCTTCCCCAGCTTGCTGGGTTCCTCCCCTCCCCCTCTCCCTCCCAATCAGCTGATGGCCCTTGCGAGGGAGGGGGAGAAGAGGGAGGGGGAGAAGTGGAGCCGCAATGGGGCCTTGGGGAAGGGGGGTGGAATCAGGGCATATCTCCTCCAGCTCCCTGCCGTGAGCCGCTCTGGGCAGGGGGCTGGGAGCATCCCCATGACCCTAGCCCACACCCCCAGCCCCTTGCCCTGACTCCTGCACCCCCCCACACACACACCCAGCCCTCTGCCCTGACCCCTGCACCCCCCCCACATACTCAGCCCCCCACACCCCATGCCCTGACTCCTGCACCCCCACACACATACTCAGCCCCCCACACCCTATGCCCTGACTCCTGCACCCCCACACACACACACCCAGCCCTCTGCCCTGACCCCTGCACCCCCCACACATACTCAGCCCCCCACACCCCATGCCCTGACTCCTGCACCCCCTCACATGCCCCCAGCCCTCTGCCCTGACTCCTGCACCCTCCTCACACATTCCCAGCCCCCTGCTCTGACTCCTGCACCCCGCACACCCCATGCCCTGACTCTTGCACCCCTTACATTCCCACCCCCACCCTGAGCACCAAATGGGAGCTCCTGTATGCCCCCCTCCGCACATTCCCACCTGCACTCCTCTCACCAAATGGGAGCTGCCCCGGTAAGCACTCCACACCCAAACCTCCTGCCCCAACCCTGAGCCTCCTCCCCCATTCTAGCTCCTGGCCAGACCCTGCACCCCAACCCCCAGCCTGCTCCTTCACCCCCAGCCCTGTGCTCAGTGCACTCCCACCCTCAGCTCAGTGCAGAGAGAGAGAGGAAGAGAACGGGCTAGAACCAGGGAGAAGGTAGGTACCCACTCTATGTGGGCAGGGCCGGGATCCCAGATCGGCAGCGGGCTGAGCGGGGCTGGCAGCCGGGACGCTGGCTGGCAGGAGCCAGCGGATGGAACCCCAGACCGGCAGCAGGCTGAGTGGCAGCGGGCTGAGCCGCTCAGCCCACTGCTGGTCCAGGGTCCAGGCCACCGGCTCCACTCAGCCCGCTGCCAGTCTGGGGTTCTGGCTGCCGGCCCCTTGCCAGCCGGGGTCCCGGCCGCAGGCCCCGCTCAGCCCGCTGCCGGCCTAGGTGAACGGAACCCCAGGCCGGCAGCGGGCTGAGTGGGCCGGTGGTGTAAGATCAACATTTTAATTTAATTTTAAATGAAGCTTCTTAAACATTTTGAAAACCTTGTTTATTTTACATACGACAGTAGCTTAGTTATATAATATAGCAACTTATAGAGAGAGACCTTCTAAAAAACGTTAAAATGTATCACTGGCACATGAAACCTTAAATTAAAGTGAATAAAAGAAGATTCGGCACACCACTTCTGACAGGTTGCTGACCCCAGTGGTAGATGAGCAGTTTAGTATATTTCAGGTGATCTATTTAGGAGCATACAGAAAACCATAATGCATGACCTACTTCTGGATGTAACTGCTGCCATTGTGGTGATAGCAAAACATGGAAATGCACATTTCTCACCTTTTTAGTTCTAAGAAAGTCCAGCATAGAGGAATGTTTGGAAAACCCTGGAAATCCAGACTGATGTGAGTTTATGCTTTGGGATAAACAGTGGGACCTGCACTTCCCAACATCCAGACTTACAGGACTGCCAGAGATGTCTGTGAATATAGGAAAGATGAAGTCAGAATCCCTACAGAATGCAGAAATTCTTACTATTTATTATTTGTATTGTGCTATGCCTAGGACCCCAGCCACGGACCAGGACCAGATTGTGCTAGGCACTGTACAAACACAGAACAAAAAGATGATCCATGCCTCAGAGAGCTGACAAACTGAAGGAACCCTCTGCTGCAGATGGTTGCCTAATTCTGCAAAGAACAAACACACACAAATCCACAAATAGAATGTGGTCATTTATTTTGACTGTAGTTCATGATTATATACTTTGTAGTAGACTAGCAAATTCACTCTAGCATATTTTATAAAAAGCAATATGCGCTTAGTCACAGGAAATCACACAACAATGTCTCTGCCGTCTAGTTTTTAAAGAGAAGTGGGGCGAAGACCACCAGTGTTTTGGTGAGAATCACTATATCTGCATATTAGCAAAGGGAGAATGTGAGAAGTTCTATTGTGGTTGAATTATTTAACCAAGATAGTCGGAGTGTCTGGGTAAACTCTCTAATTCATGGGCAAACAGACCATTCAAGCCTGTCCTCACACCACCTGAGGAAGTCTCACACATTCAAGTTGGGCATTTCTTGCCTGTGAAACACCAGTGATTATCAGCTAATAATTGTTTCCCCTAGAAATACTTCAGAAAATTGGCTAGTTCTCTCCAGCAGCCTTGTCTGTATTCAAAGTTGCTTCAGTTTCACTTTACATTAATTTAAAAATCTATTTCAATTAAATCAGTGGACATTTTTACTTCAGTTTAGATTAAATCTGTTCCCAGTTGATTTAGGCTGAACCACAATGGGCCTGCTTTAAACCAGAATAAGTGTCCACATAGAAATTTGCACCGGTTTAAAATCACACAGTTAGACCATGACTACACTAGCACTTACGTCACAGAACTTTTGTCGCTCAAGGGTGTCGTAAGTACTTGTGTGCATAGCGCTCTGCCAGCAGGAGAGCATCTCATTGAGCTGGTTTTACTGTATCCACGGGCGAGCTCGCTCCCATCAGCATAACTCACTACATGAGCGCTCTTCCAGTGCCACCCCCATGAGTACAGAACAGATTGTAAGTATTGACAGGGCCTTAGTTAAACTGCTGCAACGTTCTCCTGTAGACAAGGCCTTGTGTGGACACTTAGGGCTTGTCTAGGCTACGCAGCTTTACATGACAAGGCTGTGTCAACTCTCCATCGGTATTTTGTCAGCACTTTTGCCGACAAAATACTTCCAGCTTCACGAGTGGCGTAAGCTTTGTCGGCAGGAGAGCACGTCTGCCAACAAAGCCACGTTCACACTGTCGCTTGCGTTGGCAAAACTTGTCTTTCGCGGGGTGCTTTTAAAAGTACCCGCAAAAGACAAGAGTTTTGGCGACAATGTCGCCTTGTAGACAAGCCTTTAGGCTATGTCTACACTACAGACCTGAGCTGGCGGGAGCGGGCTCTCCTGCCAGCATAATTAAACCACCTCCAATGAGCAGCGGTAGCTCTGTTGGCAAGAGAGCATCTCCCACTGACCTAGCGCTGTCCACACCAGCGCTTTTGTCAGTGACACTTCTGTCAGTCAGGGATGTGTTCTTTCACACCCCTGACTGATAAAAGTTTTACCAACAAAAGTAGACATAACCTTAGTTTAGTTTAAACCAGGTTTATATCAATTCAGTTAAATTTGATAAGGAATCTACTTAAACTAAATTGATATACTCCGGGTTTAAATTGAAGGAGAGGCAGATACACTGGAGGGTAGGGATAGGATACAGAGGGACCTAGTCAAATTGGAGGATTGGGCCAAAAGAAATCTGATGAGGTTCAACAAGGACAAGTGCAGAGTCCTGCACTTAGGACGGAAGAATCCCATGCACCGCTACAGACTAGGGACCGAATGGCTCGGCAGCAGTTCTGCAGAAAAGGACCTAGGAGTTACAGTGGACGAGAAGCTGGATATGAATCAACAACAGTGTGCCCTTGTTGCCAAGAAGGCCAATGGCATTTTGGGATGTATAAGTAGGGGCATTGCCAGCAGATTGAGGGATGTGATCGTTCCCCTCTATTCGACATTGGTGAGGCCTCATCTGGAGTACTGCGTCCAGTTTTGGTCCCCACACTACAAGAAGGATGTGAAAAAATTGGAAAGAGTCCAGCGGAGGGCAACAAAAATGATTAGGGGACTGGAACACATGACTTACGAGGAGAGGCTGAGGGAACTGGGATTGTTTAGTCTGCGGAAGAGAAGAATGAGGGGGGATTTGATAGCTGCTTTCAACTACCTGAAAGGGGGTTCCAAAGAGGGTGGATCTAGACTATTCTCAGTGGTAGAAGAGGACAGGACAAGGAGTAATGGTCTCAAGTTGCAGTGGGGGAGGTTTAGGTTGGATATTAGGAAAAACTGTTTCACTAGGAGGGTGGAGAAGCACTGGAATGGGTTACCTAGAGAGGTGGTGGAATCTCCTTCCTTTGAAGTTTTTAAGATCAGGCTTGACAAAGCCCTGGCTGGGATGATTTAGTTGGGGATTGGTCCTGCTTTGAGCAGGGGGTTGGACTAGATGACCTCCTGAGGTCCCTTCCAACCCTGATATTCTATGATTCTATGAATTAAGAGCATCCACACTGTGTTTTTCATCACTTTAAATCAATTGGTTTAAAATCACACCTTTAGTTAAACTGGTGTAAGTTTGAATACAAGGCCTCACTACAGAAGGCCTGGTGCTACCTCTAAATGAGTCACTAATATGAACATATTCTTAACAAGCATGACAGCATAATAAGACAATTACAATGACTGAGGCTTTCTGAGGTGTTTTGCACCGTGTCTGAAATCATGAGGGCTATATAAAAGCCCCATGCTTAGCAAAGCAAAAGGGAGCACTCCAGAGCTGTCTAGATAAGCTACAGAAGGACATACTCTGCTTTTTGTTTCTAGACTTCTCTGTGCTGTAAAAATGTAGAGGGGGTTTGGAAGCTATCATCTCCTCTATTCCCCTTTCCCTCATTTCTTGCCTGGCAATACACCATGAGAACTTCAGCTAAAGTACCTGCCACAGCTCCAAACTTCAAGCCATAGCAGAAAGTTTGTCTCAACTTGGATGTGATACTGCTATGCACTTTGACAGCACTTTTGCCCAAGGACCTCAAGCATTGAGAGAGATTAATTCTCACAGCCCTCCCTGTGGTAGAGATGATTGTTCTTGCTTTATGCCCTGGGAAACTGAGGCACATGTCACATTGAGCCATTGCAAAGCTGGGAAAAGTACTCTGTAGGTTCTAGTCCTGTTCATTAACCATTAAATGATAACATTTACAGTCAAAATTGCATAGATGAAGCTGGTTTAGGAAGCCTCTACAACTGTATTTGGCTGGCTGCAAAAGGAACCAAGACTATATAGGGCCCTTCGTTTTTGGTTTTTATTTTATTTAATTTTCCCCTGGAATTTATCAGTGTTTATTACTCCAACAACTAAAACAGGTGACAATTGGTGGAAAAACTATTAATAATTTTTCTGGGTAAATATCAGAGTTTATTTTGGTGGACGGAAGGACGGGTGGAAAAGTATTCAGTAAATTAATGCTTTGATTAATGGAATTCAGTGTGGTTTGCTGCAGAACTAAAAGAGAATTCAATAAATGCCATCTCTGAGTTTAAGAAAACAATAGTTCTTTAATCCCCAAATAAAACTTTTTGTTTGGATAAACATTTGACTGTTGTAGACTTAGAACTATTAGCCTATAAATATTTACATTTAATAATTGGGCCACACCATGTGAAGCACACACTCACCTTCATCCTTTTCTCCTGTTTTTTTTTAAACTTTTGAATACTTCCTAGTGTTCTGAAGTGAATTCTGATACAGATTTTTGTTTTCTTTCCATTTTAGTATGTCAGCTCTTTAACTGTTAGCTGCTAGCTGCTTGAAATGTGTATATGGTGGGCATGAGAAGCATCAGTATGTTCAGAGGTACATGTATGGTAGAGAAGGGGTGAGATAGCTCAGTGGTTTGAGCATTGGCCTGCTAAACCCAGGGTTGTGAGTTCAATCCTTGAGGGGGCCATTTAGGGATCTGGGGCAAAAATTGGGGATTGGTCTTGAGGTCCCTTCTAATCCTGATCATTCTATGGACACTTATTTCAACGCTTGTGTGCCTGTTTGTTTATTGTGTGTATCTTCTAGACCAGGGGTGGGCAAACTGTTGCCTGGGGCCGCATCCGGCCCTCAAGTTCCTGCTTGGAAGCAGGGTCCAGAGCTTGCCCTGCTCCAGCACTCCAGCCAGGGAGCGGGATCAGGGGCTTGCCCTGCTCCGCGTGGCTCCCAGAAGCAGCAGCATGTCCCCGCTCTGGCTCCTACTTGTAGGGGCAGCCAGGGGGCTTTGGATGCTGCACCCGCCCCAAGCACCTGCGGACAGGGCAGCGTACAGAGCCGTCTGGCCGCGCCTCCACGTAGGAGCCGGAGGGGGGGACATGCTGCTGCTTCTGGGAGCTGCTTGAGCTAAGCACCGCCCAGAGCCTGAGCCCCAGCCCTGATCCCCCACCCACCCTCTGAACCCCTCGGTCCCAGCCCAGAGCACCCTCTTGCACTCCCAACCCCTCATCCAGAGCCCGCACCCCCAGCTGGAGCCCTCACTCCCCTCTGCAACCCAACCCCCTGCCTAGGGTGACCAGATGACAAGAACAAAATATCGGGACACATGGGGGGGCAGTCACAGGCTCACCCCCCAACCAGGGCTGGCTCTAGGTTTTTTGCCCCCCCAAGCAAAAAAATAAAAATAAAAAAAGCCGGAGTGCCGCCGAAGCAAAATATTGGGACAAATGGCATCCCGACCGTACATCGGTCAGGACACAGGACGAACAACTAAATATCGGGACAGTCCCGATTTTATCAGGACGTCTGGTCACCCTACCCCTGCCCCAGTCTGGAGACCCCTCCCGCACCCTGAACTCCTCACTTCTGGCCCCACCCCAGAGTCCGCACCCCCAGCCCGAGCCCACACCCCAACTCCCAATTTTGTGAGCATTCATGGCCCGCCATACAATTTCCATACCCAGATGTGGTTCTCAGGCAAAAACGTTTGCCCACCGCTGTTCTAGACTAATACAGAGCCTTACTTCAACAGGCAGCTTTGCATTTACACACAGACTAATGTATTATTGTAATACATACAGCTCTTGCAACGTATTGTATTTTCCTAATAAGAGTAGCTATTTTGTATATATATGAATGATATAAAAATAGGGTGAAAATCAGAAAAAAATGAAAATAATTGTTGTAAAACCCAGGATTTTTTTGTTAAAAATTGGTTTAAACTGAAAACAAAGAGGCTTAACGATGTACAACTTTCAGTAGTTACAGCCCTTTGACGGATTTCTTAATTTGCACTCACTGTAAAAAGAAGCAGCACATTGGTCCAGAAAAAGATGTGACCTCACCCAGCTTTCAGAGGAGCAGCCGTGTTAGTCTGTATCCGCAAGAAGAACGGGAGGACTTGTGGCACCTTAGAGACTAACCAATGTATTTGAGCGTGAGCTTTCGTGAGCTATTGTTTCTCTAATAGCCTGGGACCAACACAGCTTCAACTACAAAGCACTCCCAAGATTACTCCTGAAAACCAAGTCGTTCTGGTACAATACACCTCTGAACTAATACAACTTTGAAAGGACGCAAACATTTGTCTTGCGAGAAAGTTCAATACATTTGGTACAGAAAATAAAGCTTGTTTGGTTCAGGAGAATGTATTGACCAATTAACTAATCTTCCCACTAATTCATATTTTGTGAAATGTGCTTTTAGTACCTGGTTATATAAGTGAACAGTAGCATTAGCCTTTCAAGGATCTTGCTAGGAGTGCATCATCCCAGAAGTTGATTAGGCAGCATGCCTTGGGGTGTCACCATTACATTTACTTACTTCAGACCGTAGCTCTTTGGGAATAAAATGACAGTGAAGTCTTGTGTGCATCCATAGAATGTCCAGAGGGATGCGGATGATGGAACAGGAGTGGGGATGTTTAAAGGAATCAGGCTTCTCAGAGCCTAAAGGAGAAGTTCACTTACCGTGCCCAATATAGACAGAATGGCTCTGCCTCCTGCAGCAGCCCCTCTCTGCAAACAAGTTCCTTCCTTCACTCTTCCTGCTGATGGCTCCTGCACCTGCACTCACAAAACATAAAGCTCATCTGATCACCAGCTTACAGCTTGAGCTGCCTTCCTTCTATAGCTGGAAGGGGAGATTGAGCTCCAAGCAGAAGGCATACAGACCTCATTTCTTTAACTTTATGATTTTGTTTTAAGGAATAAGCAGGATCAAAGTAGTTAAAAATGGAAATGACCCATTAGATCTCCAAGACTACTCCACAGCAAGGATAGACTGTATACACTCTATCATTAATTACCATTAATTAATCCTTGATTCAGCCATCCCCATTCTCACTTTACTCAGCGTGGCAGAATCATGCCCCAGCTTATTGCTGATGTCTGACAATCATCTCAGCACTGTATAGAAGAGGGAGCAGACAAGTAGAGATGATCCGGTTCTCCAGGAAAGGATGCATCGGATATTAAAATAATTCTACACTTGACCTTAGCACTTCCCCTGTTCATTCGCAAGTCCTTTACTCCTTAAAATCAGCACACAGAGCAGTAAAAACCATAGGGAGGAAAAGAGAAATGAGACTTACTGACAAGGCTGGGAATACTGAAAAGGCCACTGAGAAGCACGGTAGCCAGTGAAAGATCCCTCATAGCTGCACCCTTGAAGACACTGACTTGTCTCCAGTATTCCTATCTCAGATATTTATAGCTAGAGCTCCCTTAGCAGGGGAGAAGGCGCTTGCAACAGAGACAAATGGGTCTGTATATTACTGACATATGTTGCCAAGATTGGGATCTGAATAAACACCAAAGTGGCCTCAGCAGTAATGGAATCTCATCACCAACTTGTCTAGGGGAGCGGGTTCCAGCCACACTTCAAAGCCTTGCTTGGAAAGGGCAGGTTTTCCACCACAGGATGGGGGATTTCTCTCCCCTCAGGGGGCCTTTGTTCTCACCACCACTTTCAAACTAATTAAGCTCTCAGTAGCTTGGAGTCATTTTTAAGTTGTCTCATTTAAAAGCGACTCAAGTTCTTCAGCCTCATTCATTGCCTTTTCTCTGGAGATAACCATCTTTTGTTTCTTTTCAACACCAGACTATAGATTAACCCTAGCTCTTTGGTAAACAAATGCATCATGCAAGGCTCAGAGTCATAGGAGATCTGCAGAGCATTCCTTCTGGAGAGCAGCCCAAGGCAGGTATCTGGGCCTCCCTTTCTGCCTTTCTTTCTTTATCAGAGGGGTAGCGGTGACCAGACAGCAAGTGTGAAAAATTGGGACAGGGTGTGGGGGGTAATAAGAGCCTATATAAGAAAAAGACCCAAAAATCGGGACTGTCCCTATAAAATCGGGACATCTGGTCACCCTAGTCTGTATCCATAAAAACAACGAGGAGTCCAGTGGCCCCTTGAAGACTAACAGATCTGTTAGTCTTCAAGGGCCACCGGACTCCTCATTTTTTCTTTCTTTAACAAGTCTGAACCTTTCAACTGGGAAGAAGTTTCTTTCTTTCTTGCTCAGTAAAAACAAGCAGGCAAGTTCCTCCTTCCTGAGCTACAGAGGAGCAGAAGCACCATGGACCCTTCCTACGTGCAGCAAGAAATTGTCTCTAGATTGTGCATTGGTTTCTGGGACTGCAATATAACTCCCTGAAGGGCTCTCACAGGCCTTGTCTAGACTAGGAAAACAGGTCCTTCTTTCAACTGAGTAAAGCTAGTTCCACTGAGTTAACGTGATTGAGGCCACAAGCGTAGCTGTCAGGGTCCCACTTTGTTAGGTAGTTGAGAAAACTCATGGCTACAAGAAATTGGGCTGTCAGGCTCTGTATCTGTCAAAGGTCACTAGCGTGCGGAACGGTGGCAGGCCCAGAAGCCCTGCAGTGTGGGAGAGGTTGCAGAGCACAGGGCACTGGGCAGAGAGGGCAGAGTCAGCACTGGGCACAAAGGAGAAGAAAGAGGGTGCAGGGATGAAAGCTCATGGCATAGGGCATGGAGCACAGACCAGGGCAAAAGTGGCACCGAGTTGGGGCACTAGTTGGAGAAGGAGGAGACACAATGTCTCCGCTTGTTCTTTTTTTACCTTCTGGCTTTATCAGGTTGGAAAATGAAGTGACCGTCCCACACCATCCCTGCTCCGAGTGCCTGAACACCTGGAGCATGTCCCACGGGCTGAAGTGAATCATGATAGGTTATAGCAGTTAGAAACTTCATAATGTATCATGGAAAATACTTCTGTGCATCTCTGTGCTCTGCCTCTGTGACTGAGGAGAAGAAATTCAATCCCACAATGGGTCAGAGGGTTTGCAAAGGCCTTACACCAGGGGGCTGGGATGGAGATAGATCGGAGACTCCCTTGTTAGCCAGGTGATTGATTAGATGGAACCCTGATGTCTGCTTCCCCTGGTCACAGCCACTTGCAGCTGGGCTCCTGGAAATCTCCTCAGGGTGTATGTGTTGATTGTAGGCTCCTTATTCTGTACCCACAGAGGCAAGAATGATAGAACAAGGTCATTATGAGTGAACTCCAGCAGCCTCTCACAAAGCCCAGGGCACAGGCACCCAGCTGGGAGGCTGCGAACGTCCCATTGACGCACATGCAGCCCCCTTGCGGAATGCAGTGCAGGGCACACGTCCCAGTGTAACCAGTGGTGCACAGGGTGCATTTTTCTTTGGCCTATACGTCATCTTACCACCTCGGTTACAGCAAGGAGCTCCCCATGACACGCTCTGCTGACGGTTGCCTGAGCACCTCTGGAATTATAACTTGAGTTTTCCGTCACTCGGAACTTCTGAAACATTCACCTTTGAAACTGAAATTTTCCAGTCTTGGAAGGTTGAAAAGCCTGAAGGTGAATTTCATAGTCGGGCATCAGAGCAAAACCAATTCACCCATTTCTGACAGGAAGCAGAGTGGAAATAATACCCCTTCCCCAAGATGTAAAAATAATTGGAACAGCCCGATAGTCCACAGGGCTGCCTTTGGCAGAGTGGGAGAGCTCCCTGAGGAGCAGTGCCCTTCCTTTCTCTGAAGGAAACTGGCCTTGATTTGATAGTTAATTATTATTCATATTGTCGTACTGCCTAGGTGCCTCAGTCATGGACCAAGGAAACGTACTGTGGGAGGGTTTCAGGTTGTTTTGTTTGTTTGGGTTTTTTTTGTTGCCTTCCTCCGGAGCATCAGGAATGGCCAAAGCTGGAGAGAGGACACTGGACAGAGAGGGACAGGGCTGTGAGGTGGCATTGGGCATTCTCTCTCCCAGGTGCTTGGCTGATCCTAACTCGGGGGTGGTCAATTATTTGTCAAGGTCCAAATTTCTTGGTCAAGATATAGTTGAGGTCCAGACTCCAGAGGAAATAATAAAAAATATAACAACAATAATAAGTAAATAAAAAGATTTTGGCATCCATTCCAAAGTATCTGGCAGTCTGGATTTGGCCCATGGTCTGCCTATTGACTACCCCAATCTAACTGATGGCCTTATGTGGGGTTCGGAAGGAATTTTTCTCCAAGTCAGATTGGCAGTCGCCTTGTGGACTTTTCACCTTCCTAGGGCGATCTGGCTATATATCATTTAATCATTTCCCTGCCATTGCAGCAGCCTCTAACCCCGATGCACCACAGTCCCGCCTCTTCTTTGCCTGTGCCACATAACAGCCTATTCTCCTGTGGGCTGTAACTCCTTGGTCTCACTTCAGTTGCTGGGGTTAGTGTGGAGGTGCAGGGCAGGGTAGGGGCCCTGTGATCTACAGGATGTCAGAGTAGATGATCTGGGGGTCCCTTCCAGCCTTAATCTCTAGGATTCTAGGAGGCCCCCCAGGGTGCCAGGCACTGTACAAACACAGAACAAAAAGACGCTCCCCGCCCCAAAGAGCTAGAGTTGTCCATATTTGAAAATTAGGTTCTACGCCTTTACAGGAGCAGATTTTGTGAAGTTTGTAAGTGTCACTAAGCATAGGCACCGACTCCGTGGGTCCTCCGGGGCTGGAGCACCCATGGGGAAAAAATGGTGGGTGCTGAGCACCCACCGGCAGCCCCTTATCAGCTCCGCCCTACCCCCCAGTGTTTGCCACCCACCAGCAGGCCTCACAGATCAGTGCCTCCCACCCTCCAGGATCAGCTGTTTCACAGTGTGCAGGAGGCTTTGTGAGGGAGGGGAAGGAGCGAGGAGGAGGAATGGGGTGGGAAGATGTGGGGTGGGGGCTTTGTAGGAAGGGGTCGAGTGGGGGCAAGGCCTGAGGCAGAGCCAGGGTTTGAGCACCCCCCAGCACATTAGAAGGTCGGCGTCTGTGTCACTAAGGTCAATTGCATGGTGCATCTGTGCACAGCTAACTTAGCTGCACTCTACAGCCCCCAGGGCTGGATTTCCAATTAGGCACAGCAAGCAAGTGCCTGGGGTGCCAGCATTCTAGGGGCGCCTTACTGCTCTAAAACTGTGTGCAACACGAAGGTCAACTGTAGGCAGGAGGGTGCTGAAGATGCTGTCCTAAAGTGTAAATCCGGCCCTGAAGCCTCCATTTGCAAAAGTGTCCGCTCATTTTGGATGCTCAATTTTTGGATAGCCACATAGGGTTCAGTTTTGTCCTCAGTTACCTTAGCAGACTCTGTAAAGACCTAATTTTAGACTAGGGCATCACATCCAAAGGTGCTGAGCACCTGCAGAGTCCATGGACTTCAGCTGGAGTTGTAGGTGCTCAGTTCCCTGAAAATATCAAACCCTTGGTGTCTGAACTTGGATGTCCAAAAATGGAGGCCCCAAAATTCATTTTTGAAAGTGTAGGCAAATTGAATCCTCCTGTCCCATGAATTACTCCAAAATGTTTCTGGGAAACACAGGATCTGTTAAAACAAGCCCTTGGACACATGCAGTCTACTGCTCTGCATTCCCATGAAAATGGCCTCTTTCCCTGTGAGAATGAGCACTGGGTTGGGAGCCAGGAGATCTTGAGTTACTTTGTCACCTCTTCCACTGAAAGGTCTCACTTCTCTTTGCCTCACAACCCTATAGTCCTAACCTAGGAAAATAGGCAAATATCATTACTCTCATTACAGATTGTGAAGTTAAGGTTAAGCAAGTCATACAAGGGCACAGAAAGCCTGGGACAAAGCTGGGAACAGAACCCAGAGCTCTGAAATGAGACACTGGTCTTATTCACTACAATATCTCTTGGAGAGATTCAAATCTATGTGCTTAGTCACACTGCCTGTAAAATGGGGTTACCCATGCTGAGCCACCTTTATGTGCTTTAAGATACAGAGGCAAAAAGTGCCATGCACATGCAGGGTATTAAGCCCATTCTACATGGACAAACATAGATATAAAGGTTGCACGATTTGCAGTGGCTGCACTTAGGATTGAGGACTGGGTATTCTGCGGCCAAAGACATTTTCAACAGGTGTTAACTCAGGGGTATTTTGTTAGTTCTAAGGGATATGAACACATACATTAGTTAGGACTTCTTTGTGAGGACATTGCTAGAATCCTTGGGCCAGGTTGGCCAAGTGAAAGTTGGAGTAAGTGGGTCCTGCCCCCATGGACACAAACAGTAGGGTCAGTGCAGCAGGTGTAGGGTTTAGCACTCAAGACAAATGTGTAAGAATGCAATTTATGTATCATGGATTCAATTCAGCCGTCACTATCAGGTGCAGCAATCAGTGAAGTTGCACACCTTTAAATGAGAGAAAACTTCAACCCCGAAGGTTCACACCCACGTTCTTGAGGGCAGAATTAGGCCTCGACAGGACAGAGGTCAGGCCCTCAGGGAGAGATGTAGCAAGAAAACTAACCAACAGGAAGATTTAAGATACATTTTAAAGCTGCATCCCTGACTGTATCTTACACTCAGACCATCCTCAGCGTTCCCACTTGCACTTGCTTATGATAGTCATGAACTGGTCCCCACAATACCAAATACATGTAAGTTACACTCATTTTGCACACCCCTTGCATGGCAAATCAGTGCAAGTTACAGATCTCTGTGACTTTCATTTGCTTTATGGCCAGCTTGCAGCCCCTGCATAACTCTCGCCATTTATTCAATGTGGACTTTGGCTCTTCTTCACTTACTTTATTTTTATGAAGTAAGCAATTCATTGAGAGGTTTTGGACACAAGAAACTGTACTAGCTGTAGTTGCACTGAAGTGAAGGGAATTACTATAGTCATATGATTATTGTATGGTTTTTCTAAGACATGTTAGAGTCTGTGACCCCAGATTAGATTAAACTGATATTTAAACACAACAGTGGTGTGACTACAAAGCAGAGTTAAGGTTGTTTGAGTGCCCTAACTCTACATTTCTGTATCTTAAGGTTAAAGTTAAAACAAATCTCAATGTGTTAATTGCAAATTTCCTCAGTTTAGCATGCTTAGTTTGGGGATAATTATAACATCTAGTAACGTATTTTACCCTAAGTTACCGATACCCGAAGGTTACGATTCTGCCACGGAGGTCACAGATTCCATCATTTTCCAGGACCTCTGGGACATTTTCTGGACCAGGGCTGGAGCAGCTGTTAGCCCCAGGGCCGCCAGAACAGCTGACCAGCGGCCACCCCAGGGCCATTGGGGCAGCAGTCCCCAGGCAGACAGTGGCTGGGGTTGAGCCACAGGAGCAGCGATGGGGCTGGAGCAGCTGCAAGCCCCAGCAGCGCTCTGTCCTCCCCACCACCTCCGGGTAGTTTTAGTAAAAGTCAGGGATGGGTCGTAAGCCTCCATGAAATTTTGTTTATTGCCTGCGACCTGTCCCTGATTTTTACTAAAAATACCCGTTACCAAATCTCAACCTTACTGATACGTGCGCTCAGAGTTAACTCCATCTTACTGTAGTTTATGTCAGGGAATTTCCTTTTAATTAAAAAAGTCACACATGAATACTGAGCAATGATTTGGAGATATGATGTAACAATCAGTTTTTAAATGTCAACTTTTATGGCCAAATTCACCTGTATACTCTGGCTGGTTTGCCCTCACCCTGGAGCAGCTCGAGGCAGCCAAAGCATACAGGCCAGTTAGCTGTTTTGCCAAAGCAGTCGCAGTGTACATCTCACTTTCGCCCTCCCTACTCTTCTCCGTTATGCAGATAGTACATGATCCTAGAGGTAGCTTTTGGAATTATCTATTTAGGATTAATGGTGTTATTTTGCCATTATTTTTCATAACTAAAACTTTGGGCTTGGCTACACT